TTTACTAGAATGAAAGCACAAGTAAGTGAGATTTATAAGATTTTTGTCCAACTTAAATGTTTTTGTTGTTGTTGCATCAGGAAGAGAAATGATTTATGCTATGGTCAGCAAAATTATGCCTGCATAGTAATGTTCTGACTATGTTGTGGTATATTGTACCTGGAATAGTGTAGGGTAGCACACGTGTTAAATATTATTTCCAACATCTTAATGCAGCCCTCTGGCCATTAGTGTAAATTGGGCCTCCCATAGATTACTCTTGCTGAAATGTTGCCTTTGACAGAAGAATGATGACCCTCCCTGAAAGAGACAATCCAGGGGACATTGCCACCTTTTTCGGCCTCAACTTGTATGATCTTGGAGGGAAACCACTATTACAGAGAGCAGGACCAGCGTTTTTAAATAGTGGATGGAATGTGGACAAATATTAGATTTGATTTAGATTTAGAATTATAATTATTTAGATTTTAATTAAAATTTATTGGAATGTATATAAGTTCCTCTTAAAAATTAAGTTCATCAGCAATTTGGCAAAGCACAAGTTGTATACCTTCATCTTTTTTGCTATTATATTAATTAGCAGCTGTTACTTAACATTGCCACTTTATATAGTGGTATGATTCTATCGAGTGACGTTGTGTCCTGAACAAAACTATACGAAAATAATGTGCCATGGTAGAAACAGGTGTTAAATATTATCTTGAGTGGAAGAAACTAGTCATATAATAGAATTGACTTCAAGATGAAGTGTAATGTCAAGCGGAGGAAATCAGGAGTTTCAAGACGGTTCAAATGAATGCAGGTTTTTATTGATTGCTAACAATCTATACAGACTTAGGTCACACTTGACCCTTCCTTCGGGGTCAGCCTGGTTATCTTCCACATGTACAAAGAGAAAAACATTGTTCCTCCTGTGTGGGAGATTAAATATTGAGACCATTTGGAAGTAACCTTCATTATACCACCTAAAGCTTACTAAGACTAGAATATTTTCATTTTTCAGTGTTCTTCATGGATTCAATGCAAAAGGAATTCACTTTTCCTGAAGGGATTACAGGAAAGCTGCTGCGAAGATTGAACTAATTTATATAAATAAATGTTATAGTAGAATATATTCATAATGAATGTAAACCAACCATCAACTGGCTGTTATCCAGTTTTTGCTTCTTTTGATTTTATTTGGTGAAGAATGTATCCATTTATAAATATTATTAAAAGTATCTGGAAATGCACTCATAGCATCTAGCTTCTCCCAGTATGTGTTTGATATTCCAAGTTAAGTATTGATATTGTTACTCATTAAAAAAAATGTGTAACCGATATGGAAGTTAGGAGTTTCTCTAATGCCAAACATGATATTTTTTCTTTTTTAATGGCCAAATGTTCTTTATATTGTGCATTGCAATAATTTTCTAATAATAATAATACTCTATATTTCATCATGGTTGTGTTTGTGTGTATGAATATTGTGTGTTTTCCTGTCAGTTTTTTCTCCTAGAAATTCCCTGGATTAGTCCATGGATTTTTCTTGGCAAAGTTTTTTGGAACTGGTTTGCTATTGCCTCTTTCCGAGGGCTGAGAGACAATGACAAGCTCAAGGTCATCTAAGCGGGACTAGGATTCCGGGTCACCTGGTGGTTTCTAACCTGAGGCCTTAACTTCTGCATCAAAATTCTTCAAATGAGTGCAGTGAACAGTGATCTATACCTTGTTCTGCTCAAGTTTATAAAATTAGACTTCTCTTAAAAGAGCAGTCTCTAATTCTTAAATTACATGAAACTCTTACCCCCATTATTAAGATACTATGTAGCTAATCTTTTTAAACAGATGACAACACACTAATCACAATGCAGCAGTATAATCAGAATAATTGGCAACAAATGTAGATATTGTTTATGCTAAGTTCAATTTGTTCATCTAAATTCAGCCACTTGGAAAAGCTAACATTTTCTTCTTTCCATTCTGTATTATGGTAATTATGCAAACGTTTCCCTAACCTTCAATTTAAAAAAATACCCTCTGAGCAATTCATAAATATCAATAAAAATGTAGTCTGGGCAGGGGATTGGATCTTTTCCAGCCTATGATTCTACCTTGTTCAGAAATCATATAGTTTTAGCCATAAAAGCCAGCACTGTAAATTTAATCTGGACCCAACAGGTCCTTTAGATAGTTGCACAGAATTGCAGCAACAAGTGCCAAGCAACAAGCAGGTTGCTGCAATTTGAACCATTTTGTTTTTTTTATATTCCTCTATAAAGTCAGTTACAGAGTCTGTTCCTCTATAAAGGAAGCAGTGCAATAAAATAAAGGCCTGGACTTCCAAATTTATCAGCTGCTCATGGGCAGAAGCTTTCATGGAACTGCTTATATCTGTCTTTGAATTATTGAAGGAGAGTATTAACACACATGAAGGTTGATACTATGATATTTTGAAGTAAATTTATGATGTTGAACCAAGTGGGGATTATGTAATCAACTTCCAGCTACATGCTAGCAAACAATATGCCTATTTCCTTGTATGCTTATATATAAGACTGATTCGATTTTTTTCCAGCTCTGTCTGATCCCATTCTTTCAGCAACTGGAAGGAAATATACACTGCTTCAGTTTCTGCTCTATCTTTAGTTTCCAAGGAGCATAGAATGAATATGCTAATTGGTTCAGACCTTGGGGTGATGAATTCACCTTTAGTGAAATATTAAATGCAGTCATCCACACTTCAATTTCAACCTTATTAGGTCCACCAATAAATGGAATGCATTGGACTCACAATTCTTGGAAGTTTCCTCATAAACATCGATCAAGTCCCATCTCAGCTGGAACATAACATACTCCCTTTATATAGAAAAGGATTTTTTTAAAAAAAACCCACCTAAAATGCTTCTTTGAGCCATTTGGGCTACATGTAAAACAGGCTTTCCAATTCTGAGATGAGTGGAGTATTCTCCATTGTAAAATTTAGCCACCTCCTCAAGCTTATTCCCATTAGTAATCCTGTTAATTATTCTGACCTTTATTGTGTATAGTTTAAGTATAACATGTTCCTTGCAGAAGAAAAAGATCGAAGTGCTTTCACTGTTGTCAATCAGCATTAGTAACAGGATCACAGCATCATCATCTGCATACAATATCACCATGCTATATGCCTACCAGTAATATTTGAGGGGTGGAATTTGTCCTGAAATAATTAACAATGCAGATAATTCGACAATAATGCAGTCTTGTTAGTTCTACAACTTTATAAGCGTAACACCTATGTTATGTTTCTGAAGTAGCTTCCATAAGGACATCCGTTTTTCCTATTGTGATACTATTTTTCCCTGAAAGACCAGATTTTTCTGCAAATTACCATACCTTTAAAATTGGGAGATCAAAAATTTGCATAGGCCATAGCAATTGAGATCCCCCCCCCATTTAATCTTGGGATAAAAATATGTCATTTTCTTTTCAGGTTAATCAAATAGACAATACTTAGCATACAGAAGAAAACTGTCATGTACGATTAAAAAGAAAAGATGGTTTCTCATAGCTCTTATAGGTGTCAAACTTGCTGTTTCATGTCAAGAGACACTTCACGACGTTTTTCCCATTCACGAAGCTGTGGTGAGTGTGGCCTGTGTGTGATGCATCTGGCCCGTAGACCACCAGTTTGATACCCCTGCCTTTATGATGGGCCCTCTAGAAAGGAAGGTATCATACAGAAGATTTCCCGTTTCCATGTAGATGACATAACCAACAAAATCAAAAGTTTAGTAAGGAAACTAGCAAACAGCGACACATTTATATATATATATCAGTTTTACCTTCCTGGTTGATGTATACTTCAACCAAAATTAATTCAAATATTCCTTATTCTCTACCACAGAATAAATTCTGTCTCAAAAATAGAACACGGGCTGTTAATTGGTCTATAAATATTTACATTTCCACCAATGTCAGTGATAGCTTTGTCAAGAAAACATGTAATTATTTCACTCAGCAAAGGCCAATTCTTATTAGAAAAAAGTGTACCAATTCTCAGTCTGAGACTTATAGTTCTTTTATAGAAGCAAAATTCTCATTTCTAATTTATATTTCATAATTAAATTTATTAAACACAATTGTGTAAAATCTACATTGCTATTTCAGTTTCATGTTTACAGGTGCTTTGTCATCAAGATAATGGCAAGGGATTTTCACAGCCTACCTTCTTATGGGAATTATGTTAAATACTGAAAACATTGGCTTATTTACACTCTCTTGTCATTGCTTTCCCTGTATTTCCCTCAGCCACAGCACAGATGGATTATGTTCCAGAAACAAAACATGAAACAGTTTCAAGTAATGTTTGTTGCTGAAGTGAGTGCCTGGAATATATCTTGGGAACAGAGTTAACTCTTAGAGAGTCCTGAATAAATCTGACTTTAAAGGAAAAACATAAAAAGGGTAATTCTTTTGGACAGCAATTTGGATAAATTATTAAAGTACCACCACCTTAAAAGTGCTGGACACACAGTGCCATTTATGAAGGCTTTAGGCTTCATGGATTATTTTTCAGCATGTGGAGTATATATTGTGCCAATCCTCTAATGATACTAATTCACTCCACTTTTCAAGTGATGGCACTGTACAACTGGAAGATACATATTAGCTACTTTCTTTTAAAGCAACAGTACTAACTACTTGCAAACTACAATTAATGCACATGTAAACTGTCATGCATCAAAAAGCCAATTTTAATAGGAAGAGAAAGGGTTATTTTGATATCCTATTATTGGATACCTCTTCTATTCTTATGTAGAGATCAGGTTGCATCTTTACTTGGACAACCGTCTAGCACACATATTGTAAATCTGCACTACTCTAGATATAACTCTCCTTCATAATCCAGAACCATTTTATTACATATTCACTAATTTATAGCTTTGTTCTTTACAAAGAAGATGTTAGATTCACTCTTTATGGCATTGAAAGAAACCATGATTCCCGATTTATACAGAGAAAAAAAATGAAATGGCTCACTGTCAATCCACACTGACAGTTTTTAATTCCAGATCAATGATATGGCACATAACTATGAAATGAAGAACTAGTCACAAAAAGAAAAACAAAACAACACACATTAAAATGTACAAATAGTAAAAGTAATTTACATTGACAAATAAAGAGTGGCATTTATTAAGGCTGTGCTTTAGAGAGGACATTTAAGATCAGGTTGCCTTGATCAAGGCACAAAACACGTAGAGGTAAGCACAGCTGTTTAGAAGAAGAGGTATATACAATCACTGATGAGGTGGGCATGCATACAAATACAAAACTGCACAGCTGTTCTTTGCAACAACTTGACTAAATGAAACAAAATTCTGTGAAGTTTTTACAAGTCCACCATTGTACTTCATTATTTTTTTAAAAAAAAATTGGCAAAGATTTCCAAAACATAAAAGATTCACAATTTTGAGTACGTTAAACATTTGAAACAAAAGTGCTTCCCAGCTCCCAAACCTGCCTGGTTGTGCTATCTGGTCTAGATGCATTTTCCAGACATTCAGGAGCGTTCCACACAACTGAAATGTTGGCTGGGGGAGGAAGAAATGGAACATTTCTACAGACACTTCAAAAGTTTTAGATCTTTCAAGTAGATGAGACTTCTTACTACTTCATTTCCAACCAGCTGCATGGTATAGCAATGAAGATTCAGGCATCTTTTAGCAGCAGAAGTTCGCCTCAAAGGGCACGTGGTCTCTTCGGATTGATTTGTTTACTAGCCTGTTCTTCTTCTTGTAGTGCTGTGCGAAAGGACTTCACTTTATCTAAAAAGTAACAAAAAAGGGAAAGCTCTTATCAAATAATTTCAGTGGGCTTCCAATGCCCAATTCATGAGGCAACAGCTTCATTTGAAATAATCCTTTAACTGAATCTTAAAGGAGAACCTGAAGGCTGCTGGGACCCCTAGACTCACCACCTCCTCTCTATTCCTCCACCGGGATGGCCACAAAGAGAAAACTGGAAGCTTTTGCTTCCATTCTAAATCAAACCATAGCTTACATCCAATTCCTAAAGGGTACCTGACCATCACTAACAACATACCTTCATATATTATAGTTTGAAGTAATGTAAATGGAAGCAAAGCCTTCTACGTTAAACACAAGATGAACGAGAACTGTAGGAACCTAAGGCTTGGTATAAATTATAGTGGATCACTTTTCCACAACTGTTAGATGTGTTAGGATTACTACCCCTCATATGTTGTCTATACTTGTGGCATTAACTTACAGAGTTAATGCTCTCTTACAGAGAGATATCCCAACTTCTCCCTTTTTGAGACAGAAAGTTTGAGTCTGTTTTAAAGCGAAAGTGAAACTTCAAAGATGGAACTGGAGAAGTAAGAGAGAGAAGCCGAAAATTGAAGCTGGGATTAGTACTGGGGTTCTCTGAATCTCCCCAGCAACCTCAGAATTAACCTACTATAATATCCAGGAAGCTTAAAAATCCAAGAATCAGGAAAACAACTATCCACAGAAAAGTAGGTAAAAACTTTTAACAAGAAATATTTGGCAATGTTAATCCTTGTATTGTTGCACTGCACAAAAGTCTCCTATTTTTCTTTTCCCTGAACAAATTAGAGAAGTATATTCATGAAGTTATACCATTTCAGCAGAATCTTGAATTATAAAGCATAACTCCAATGCTTTAAAGTGGCCAGATCTGTTTCTAACTAACCAGTGTCCTTCTGCAGTCTGCTCTATTTCAGCCATCTTCTTTTTCCTTTATTTTTAAATAAAGTTTGCTTTTGCTTATCTCTAGTAAAGATAGACCTGGGGAAGAAGGGCTGAAACCTTTAATCATATATTTCTAAATTACAGTCAGGAAATTACATTATAGAAAATATTTTTAACCTTTTAATTGTCAGTAAGATTGTGAGGGGCCTCTCACAAACTAGGGTTGAGGATGCTAGGTGAAATGCCTCTTGAAGACAAGTGGCAATGAAGGAGGGGGCAGCCCTCCCCCCAAGGACTTCTGAGAGAGATGATGTGAGACTGCCTACCTTCTATCTTTCAAGCTCAGCCACTCTGCTACAAGGTCATGTAACATTCTGATTATTTCTAAGCTCACAACGTTGGCTTTAGCCCTAACTAGCCTATTTCTCACTGTATGCCTGCCAAGTATAGAAATTTGCAGAAGGCTTTTTCAGAATAATATCATTCAAGTGTCTGTTGCTTGACAGGCATTTTACATTTTCCTTGAAGAATTTCATGAGAAAGTTTGCATTATTTTCAATAGTTGTACTGTTTGGGGAAAAAAATGAAATAGGAACAAATTGTAATAATAAATTTGGCTTATATTACAATTGAAATTTTTAATAATAAATTTGGCTTATATTGAGACAGAAAAAAAATCATTACTACCGGTATGCACCACTATATGGCATGTGTCTGTATGTTTTTTGTTTTTTTTTTAAATTTGATTTATATGCCGCCCTTCTCCGGAGACTCAGGGCGGCTTACAATGCGTTAAGCAATAGCCTTCATATTTTTGTATATTTATACAAAGTCATCTTATTGCCCCCACAAACTGGGTCCTCAATTTACCTACCTTAGAAAGGATGGAAGGCTGAGTCAACCTTGAGCCTGGTGAGATTAGAACTTACAGTAATTGCAGACAGCTGGTGTTAATCACAATGCTATCAGTCTGCTGAGCCATCAGGCCCTCTATGTTATCCTCTAATCTTCAATAATAACCAAAATGAGATACTATACTACGATATGATTTCAACTGACAAACCTTATGTACCATCTAGAATTCCATTTACACGTATGTTTATTGATCTATTGATCTTAATAAGATTTTCCTCTTTTTTTATTGTGCTGAAGAAGAGGAAGGAGTCATTTTACAATTACTACCTAAATTCTAAAACAATGTAGCTGTTAATCTAGTAATATTCTCATATACATAAAAAAGCATTCCAAAAAAGATAAAAGCGTCTACCTCGAAGTTCTGTCAAAATGTAAATTTTTTGTTCTAGAATTGCTTCAAGTTGTGTAGCATATGAATCTACATCATAGTCTACTTCTTCTGTCATTTCCAGGAGCGCTTTTTCATCTTCTAACCATCTAATTGATTCCTAAAAGCATCAAAGAAGAGAGAGAAACACAATAATTGGATCAAGGAAAAGAATTATCAGATATAAACTGAAGCGGATTATCACTTCTCTTAAATTACCAGATTGTTTTGAAGAAGGTAATTAAAATTCTCAGAGAATTTTAAATCAATTTAAATGATATCAAACTAATCATCTCAAAAATGATTTTTAAAGTTCTAGTATTCTTTTTAAAAACATATATTATTAAAGAACAGAAGAAATGGCCAAAAATAATATTAGCTTTGTGATATTAAGCTCATTAAAACAATAAAGAAAAACATGATGTAATTCAATAGTCTTCTACTTATGACCACAATAGAGCCGAACATTTCTGTAGTTAAGTGGACATTTGTTAAGTGACATGAGGATGCTGCAATAGTCATAAGTGTGAAAAACTGTCATAAGTCACATTTTTCAGTGCTGTTATAATTTCAGTCACTAAATGAACTGCTGTAAGTTGAGGACTACCTGTACTTTATTTGGTTTATATATCTCGAATTAAAACAAACAAAAAAATCTATATAGTAATTTTTTCAATTTATAACCACTTATAATTCCAAGCTTCCTCTTATGTCACAAAAACTTTATGTTTGAAAAAGCCAAATCAAGTATCTATAAAGAAATAATCCTACTGCCAACTTTCTTTGTAATTACCAAATACTAAAACTAGTTTGCCAGTTTAAAAATATGCAATAAGTTTCAAAGTTATTTAAACAAGAACTGGCAAATCAAGCAATTCTCCCTTTGCAAACAGCTATGATAAAAACCAATTTAAGCCCTTTGAAAACTACATACAAATGTAAAAAGAAAAAAATGTCTCTAGTTCAGATCTAGTTTTCAAATATTTCAGGTGGGACTTCAAAATACATTTTAGCATTGTTGAGGAGACAACCACGCCCATGAATTTTATATCCATATGCCCCAAGTGTGGGTTCTACTTACCTTTACTACCGGTTCGCAACAGGATTTGCATGCGCAGATCGCTGATGACAACATCCGGCACAGTGGGTGGGGCCTCCCGCCAGTTTTACTACCAGTTCTTGCGAACCGGTCCGAACCGGGGGCAACCCACCACTGATATGCTCTTTCATTAGAGATTTCTGGACGTTCCATCACTTCAACAATAACTGACATTCTAGGATGGTGAAATTGTTTATTTAGAAAGCAATCCCACTGCATTTGGGGGGTGGTACTGTATTAAACACTCAGTGCCTCCAATTACCTCAGATAATGTCTCAAAGCAGACATACATCCCATTCCAACCACTTCCTTGTCACCAAATTGGAAGAGCATGCCGTCTACTACACCAACCATAAGGCTATTCAGTTCCATTATCATACTTCTCATCTTTTCACAAAGTTAGTGCATAAGATTCTTATTTTATATTGTGCAATCTCCCATATAACATTTACCTGGAAGACAGCTCTGTGGTCTTCTACTACTTGCTCTTCCATTTCCACCATCTGTGACACTGCTTCATGAAAAGTGAATAACTGTGGTGAAACTTCTTCCTCCTTTAAGAAACAATAACAACAAACATCAAACAAATGTTTGTTTTATATACACTGATGAACAAAATTAAATTTAACAACATAGTTTTTTTTTTTTACCCCAACTAGTCTAATCAAAGACACTTTGAGTGTCAATGAAAATTCTCAGGTCATCTAGGCAAAGGTTTCTGAAGATTGAATCATGACAACTGGACAAACTTTGGATGTATTTTACATGTATGTACTCTCAAAAAACTCAAATGAGAATATAAAAAACTTTTGCTAGCCCCATGAACTCAAAAATATCTAAGCTTGATTAGGAAGAATGTATACAAAATAAGATGATAATTTAAATATTTAAATAATTTGATTAAAACTAAACTAGAATTTGCATTTCCAGAACTGTGATATCTGAGTTACTCACATTTTGTTCACAAAGTAGTTTAAGATCATCTCTCTGAGGTGAGCTCCCAACACCCCACTGTGCATCCAAGTCATCAATCTGATTTGGAGTGTGATGCATGATAGGACGGACGTCACCAGCAGCACTGGGATCAACTGTTAGTTCCTTGACTCTACATTTTTAAGATAGATGTTCATTTTAAAATTAATATAATCTGAATTTAAGCTGGGAGAAAATCATTTCATGAATTCACAGACAATTTACATAAATGGTGGTGATGTCAACTTCATGAACATGTATGTCTATAACAGTAGGAGTCAATCACAATATATTAATTAGAAAATTAGAAAATTGCAGTCAAGCACAACATTGAATTATATAGTTGTTTCGCACCTCTCTCCTACACACCTGTACACACAAAATATCCACATATAAAATGAATCAGTATTGTGCATCTATTACTCAGATGAGAAACTACTAGTACAAAAAGGTGACATCACCACCACTTTTTTGGGTAAACAAAAAACTTTGATATGAAATGTTTGGAACAGGTGAATGCTAATTTGGAAGATGATTTGCAGGCCATGCAGTTTTACCATCTGTCAAACTGAATGAAAACCAAAAAAAAAAATGATGATTTAGGGAAGAAAATAAGTGGAAGCATGTCTGTAAAATTACACATCAGAATAGAAAAATAAACCACTAAAATTAACATTCCATGTAAAGAATGAAGTAGACCTGGTGATTGAAGGAGAAAAGTCGTCATACTCATAGGAAGGAGAGAGATCAGAGCGACTGCCACTACCCTGTGAGAAGGGAATGTCCGAAGGACTAATTCCAAATTCCTTTACTCTACAGCAGCAAGATACAGCAGAGAAATTAAAAGAAAGTGTTCTTGTAAAAACAATGAAAATCATGTTTGCAACTGCACAAAATGCTTCACAATCTATCTAGACTTAACTCTCTAGTAAACCTCTTGGAGAGAAAAAAAATTAATAGGGAATTGAAGTCAGTGGGTGGAGACTTGAACATCTTAAAGGTCAATGACTGGAACCAAATAAAGATCGTATCTCCCCACTAATGGCCTATGAAATACACCTCTGAATATAGATTCATTTGTATAACTTCATCAACTGAAACAAAAGTAGCAGGTTTCATCGCCTATATTGTAACATGGACTTAATGACACATTACAGAGTATGAATTTGATGCAATTCATAGATGTCCACCAGTATTATCTAACTACACATGCTTGGAATGTGTTTCACTGAAAACTAGAATTTATATATTAAACATAAATCAAGTCTCTTTCCAGTCAGACTTCAGACCTGGTGACCTCAGAGATATGTTCATGTAGTTTTCTTGGCAGTAGTTCAGTAGTTTTTTTATCACCTTCTTCCTGAACCTTCCTAACCTGTCCATAGGACTGATATTCCCTGGCAGGTTTTTTCCAACTAGATACTCTCTGCTTTGTTTCTGAGCCCTGACCAGTTGCCATCTAAAGAACCTAAGAACATTAAGATAGTCAAACCTCAATTTAAAGAGGCCAATAGTCCATCATACACTGATCACCTTAGTAAGGTACGCAAAGTCTTAAATTTATCTTTCATTGTTAAATGAAAACAAACTTTTTGCATAGTTTATCTGTACTTTTTTTAAACTTCCATGTTAAATTTCATTTTTTCTAACCATATAGATGTATATATGTCTAACAATATAATACTGCTAGCAAAGCACCAAAATTAAGGTTTTGTGTGAATATTTTAAACAAATACTCCTCTTACCTATTTGCATATCTTAGTGTATTTAGAGTGTTTTCACAAGATGCCATCCCTGGAGAAATAGTAGCAATCTGAGAGGGGGGGAAATGCCAGAATTATTTTCTTGCAGGATAACAAATGTATACACTTCAATTGGTTGGAATTAATATTTTTTTTAAAAAAAAGAATACTTGGTTTTGAGGAACATTTGATGGCTAAAATGTATAGTATAAGTGTTACTGAAATTTGAAACAGAAGAAAAAGTTAAAGAATGCATGATAAAACAGGCTAAGAATTTTGTTATAACATACAGAGGAAGCAACGGGAGATGTGGTTAAAAGAACTGAAAGTTACATTTTCTAAAAACTTATGAAAGAAAGTGGTATTATCTTGCAACTTAAGTGAGTTTTTTTAATAAATTAATATACCACTGGCATAGGACACCAGAAAAATTGCCAGGATAAAGGTATTCCAGTAACATCTTCATAAATCATACAATAACAATGTTTTAGTTTAAGAAGCAGAAATCCTTCCCATTTAGGAACTTACTGAGTTCCAGCAGGTATATATAACTTATTTATATACAATCCTCAAGAGTTGTCTTTCATGCAATGAAAACACTCTGCAACATGCCTAACTTACCATACAGGTGCGAGAGTTTTCTCCAATGAATGAATCTCTTAAGACCTGAGTAAGTTTACTTGCTCTAAATGGAGTATGAGGTTTATTTCGGCCTAAGGCTCTGATGCACTCCTGTAAGAATAAAGATGTTTATGTTTTTTCCTCAGAACCAATGCAAAATTTATTTTAAAGCAACTGCAAATTTGAACAACAAATACTGGATGACAAGCTGAGTGCGTTCCCCTTGTTCTTCTTAAAATATTACAGTACATTTTCAATTAAGAAAACATTATACATTAAAGATAGAACTGAGATTGTGTACAGTTCACATTCAAATGTTAAGACTGAAATTCCATTTGATTTTGGTCCAACATGGAGACATGGGCATATACTTTTAATTGCTACTGCATCTTGTGACCAATAGAGCACTCCACCCTAAAGTATTAAAATCATTTGAACCAGAAATTGAAGGAAGACTTCACATCATTTGCTGTTGCACTGTTAACAGTTCTGCAAACAGGATCTCTTTTTAAAGAAAGCTGACACTTCCTCAAGATTAAATGTTTACCAAATGAAATTAGAAGTTAAGGAAATCTCTAGCACTGTTTTTATCTTTCTTTCTTTTCTTTCTTTCTCTATCCATCCATCCATCCATCCATCCATCCATCCATCCATCCACACAGAGAGACCTTACCCATCCACCAAGTCTTTCTAGCTTTGCAAGAATGCCAACAACCTCATAAATAAAATACGAATTAAATCTGATAGCCAAATCTAAGCCAACTGCAATGACAGTAGAAAAGAAGATGGGCTTGGTCATCCTTGAATCTAATCAGTTACAATATTTATTTTAAATAGCTGGCTTTTATCAGGAAATAAATAAAAAAACTTTACAATGTACTAAAGGTACTTAAAACAATAGATATTCAATGTATGCAAACATTTTACTGTTGCTAATAGCTAATATCACCATCTCAAACTAGTGTTGCTAAATGCTTAATCAAGAATCTATATGAATTAGCTAGGAAGGATATAAAAATACTCTGGTGTGACACTTGAGAAAATGATTTTTATGACATTGTTAAACATGTTATCCAGATCACTTTATATACAACTTTCAGCAGTTTTTTTAGTATATTAAATACATTTATCTAACTCAAAAACTCTGAGCTTCTGACTATAATTTACCGCTCAAGACAGATTTGAATAATTGCTGACTTTTATATTTCCAAAGGGAGAATAGCCTTTGCTTCTGCATTCAATATATTTTACTGCAACATATGATCTTTGTCATTAGGCATCTAATTTAGTCTCAAGAATCTTTTTTTTTTACATTTTAATATAACCTGCCTTTTCCACCTGTCTTTTTAGATTTTTTTTTCTCCATTGGATCAGTACTAACTAAACATAGCTAATTCTTTAATGCAGAAGGATACCTCACTTCATTTGTGTATATTTTATCACCCATTATTATATTCAAAACCTCTAACACTATACTTGTGAACATTCCACATAATAGTCACAATAGGCCCATATGACCAAAACTCAATCTAAAATTGGAATTCATTAAAATATATAGATAGATATTAAAATCTTTCTGAATAATTCCAGTTACAGTGATACAATTTCAAATCATACTGACATATACTCTAGAGGAAAAAAACTATTAATGCCAACATTATAAGAAACCTCAGTAGTCCTCAGTATGGGCAACTATGGTCTAGTATAAGGTAAAGGTAAAGGTTCCCCTTGCACATATATGGTAGTCGTTCCCAACTCTAGGGGGTGGTGCTCATCTCTGTTTCAAAGCCAAAGAGCCAGCGCTGTCTGAAGACGTCTCCGTGGTCATGTGGCCAGCATGACTAAACGCCAAAGGCGCACAGAATGCTGTTACCTTCTCACCAAAGGTGGTCCCTATTTTTCTACTTGCATTTTTTACGTGCTTTCAAACTGCTAGGTTGGTAGAAGCTGGGAGAAGTAACGGGAGCTCACCCCGTTATGCAGCACTAGGGATTTGAACCGCTGAACTGCCGACCTTTTGATCGACAAGCTCAGCGTCTTAGCCACTGAGCCACCGCGTCCCTATTCTGTTCTAGTATAGACAGGTATAATTAAGCAGTCTTACAGGGGATATTTCTGATGAAAATAGGCCTCAGGCAGTTCATTCATTGGCAAAATATATCAATGTTTGAAGAATCTATATATTCAACTTTAAGCAATTAACACAATTGTAGATTTTTAATTATTTTAATAATTGGAAAAATGTTTCAGGCCATTTCAAACAAGTAGTTAATATCTAAAAAGGATTTAAATGCATGAAGAACAGATTGGGAAATTTTTAATTATCTGACCTGAATATTTTATTTTTGAATTATTTTCAAAGACTGTTGAAAAAAAATGAAGTCTTATTTTTAATCTCCTATTTCAGGGGTCCCCAACCCCCGGGCCAGGGCCTATTCACAAATGGGCTGTGTGTGCATGCCGGACTGCCATTTGTGTGAGTTGGGCTGCGCCTGCATGGGCACGGCCCGCTGCTCGTGCAGCCCAGTTCCCCTCCCCCGTGCCGCAAATGTTGGAGATCACTGTCCTTTGTTATTTGTCAACTCACAAAATGATTATTAACATCATTCAGAACATGACAACTCAATAATTTAGTTGTTTCATATACATATACAAGCTGAAAAGGCATACACATTCAAGTACAATATGACTACTTTATATTTATGTGGGGGTAAAAGCAAGTAATAAAGAACAGAAGTTCATGTTTGCAAACAAACTACAGTCTTTTACTTTGAGAGACGTATGTGTTTAAAACTATTTGTAACTGGACTGATACCGACTTGAATATGATCAGCACCTTCTTTTAAGGTCCAAAGCAATATAATAATCTTATTATGCTTCCAGCATAATACAGATTACTCATAACCACTGTTTTTCATAGTGAACCATTTATAAATTGTGTTTTGTTAGCACAAATTAATGTAGACTCCATTGGTTTTTTCAGGGTTAATAAATATAGGTAGTCCTTGATTTATGATAATTGAGCTCAAATTTTTTGTTGCTAAGTGAAACATTTAAGTGAATTTTGGTGCATTTTACGACCTTTCCTGTCACAATTGTTAAGTGAATCGCTGCAGTTGTTAAATTAGTAAGAAAAGTATTACGTGAATCTGGTTTTCCCATTGACTTTGCTTGTCAGAAGATCGCAAGAGCGGATCACAAGACATAAATGTATGTCAGTTTCCAAGCGTCTGAATTTTGATGATGTCACCATGGGGATACTGCAATGGTTATAATGTGAAAAACGGTCATAAGTCACTTTTTTCAGTGCCGTTGTAACTTTGAATGGTCACTAAGTGAACTACTGTAAATCAAGGATTACCTGTAAAACATCTATCGTGTAAACATAACAAATACAATGCTCTAAAACAAAAGGAAAGCTTCTCCCAGCGAACCTTTGCATACTTTTATTTATCTATGTTATTATAAATTAGAATGTTCCTCCTCTTCACCTTCTATATATGAAAATACAATTCAATAAAGTTGTATACAGAAAATAATATTTACAAAACCTGCCTCAACAATGGAGGGCGGGTGTCTCTTGGTATAGAACTCTGGAACAATCTTGCTCATTTTCTCAGTTCAGACACACAGAATGTTTTTGCCTCATTTTGTGTAGTTTACAGTATTTTTTTCCACTGAAAAGCATAGGTACATCAAATATATGCCCTAAGCTTTCTTACTTTTTGATATTATACTAAACACAGCAACTCCTTTTACGTTAATGAAGCCTGGCAAACAGAAGACATACTGGAAGTAGAGTAAGGAAACAGAAAGTAGCATTTGAAACTTATTTTTTTTTCTCCTAATTTAGGCCCAACAAAAGTATCAACAAAAAGTAGCATTTGAAGCTTTTAAAAACTAAATTCAAAGACAGCATAAACCTGTCAAAGAAAGATATAAGCATGAATAAAAAAAAACCACCTGTTTGTACTCTGTACATGCCTCCATTGATCCACAGACACTGAATAATATTCATCCAACTGTACTGCAAACACTGTCTTTTAGGCACAGAGGCAATTTCTCTAGGCATGTAAAAGTCAACTGTTGCTGGACGAAGAAACAGAAGCAGGAATCCTGAAGCACAGCTCCTTTTAGAGTTTGAAGACTCAGTGAAACTCAACATACCTGATGCTCAATAAGCTATTCAAAAAGAACTATTTATAAAGTGACCAAGTTGGGGAGTCTGGTGTCAGCCAGCCACTGAACAGACAGCAGTGAGACATCATCTTCCAGCCATTCTTAGAAGACAGAGACCCTACCTGTTAGCCCTTGCTAATGTAAGCAGTTGGTTATGAGTAATGAACAGAGAACTTATTCTAAAAGCTTTCAAAATCCTTCCCAAAACTATTGACAAAAAATCAGAATTCTCAATCATAAAACTGCATATCTTCTTCCTTTTTCCTCACTTCCTCTGCCATTTTTATTAATGAAAAACTTTAAAAGAGTTTCAAAATATACCTTGTTTAATTACATCAATAATATAAATTTTTAATTTTAAAAACCACCAGCTGAAATCCTTTTCATCTTGCAGGATTTGGGCTGAGAAACTACAGGTAGCTTCAAGGTAAAAAAAATTGCTTCAAATTTGTCTAACCATTATTTAATTCTTAACATAACACAGAAATAGAATATCCATTTCAGTCCCCTTCTTTTCAAATATTATATGTTAATGTAATTTTTTTCTCAAAGTTTTGTCTACTGAACTTAACCACAAAGTAAATGGGTATATATAAGCACACTTGAAATAACTGTCAAGAATATATAATAATAGATTTTTATACTATTGTAGACAAACAATACTTAACCATCTGATCATTTCAAATATTGAGCTAAACTTTGATGCTCTTTTAAGGTAATGGGAGTCCTAGGAAAATGTCCAAACTCCTCCTCCAAAGCACTACAGGTAATCCTCAACTTACGACCACAATTGAGCTCAAAATTTATGTTGCTAAGTGAGAAAAATTTTAAGTTTTGCCCCATTTTACAACTTTTCTTGCAACATGAATCACTGCAGTTGTTAAATTAGTAACACGATTGTTAAGTGAATTTGGCTTCCCCATTGACTTTGCTTGTCAGAAGGTTGCAAAAAGGGATTACATGACCCCAGGATAGGGTAGTCATTAATATGAACCAGTTGTCAAGCGTCCAAATGTAAATCACATGACCATGGGAATGCTGCAACTGTCTTAAATTTGAAAAATGGTCATAAGTCACTTTTTTCAGTGCCGTTGTAAATTCAAATGGTCACTAAGCAAACTGCTGTAAATCAAGGACTACCTGTACTTCCCCAAAGTACAATTGTCTATGTACAATTATTCTAAGCTTTATTTATCCTTCCATATTAATCATCATTAAAAGAATATAGTGAGAAAGAACAAGAGGGTATACAGAATGAGTATGTCCATGTAAAATAACATTTCTGCTACATTTTTTCACCTATGTCATGTTTTATCTTATTTGGTCCTAATAACATTTACAATATGCAGAAAATAATACAACTACAATTACATATTCAACTTGAAGAAGTGAAATACCAATTGAATTAAAAAGTTTTTATCAAGAATACTGGACTGATAAAAACAGGCAAAAAATAAAATCCTATAGGGACTAAACATTCAGGTTTAAGCAGCTGGCAACTGGTATAAAAGCTCAAGTAGTTAGTAGTCCATCATTTTCTTGCTTTCAACCTTTTTTCAAGCAATGCATAAGTTCTATTTTTCCAATGTTCCTTATAAACTAAGGAACCAAATTAGTTCCATAACTAATTAAATCTGTTTAAGATGTTCCAGCATCAACTTTGTATCTATTCTTAGCAATGAAGTAAACAACTTGAAATTACATAAATATAATCAATTCACAGTACTTATCATTTTGTACTTATGTTGACGTGTAACATAGATAGTGGCTATTATATGTAAGCATTTAAAATGGAATGACCATCATCCATACCAAACCATTAATGTAGTAAACAAATGTTTTTGAAAAGTTTTGCATTTGATATAATGTGGAAAGCCAACAAGTTTAGTTTGAATTCAGTGACAAGTATTCCTTTTACCTTGAGTGCTAAAAGGCTCTTGTTAATTTCAGCACCTTCTAGTCGGGTTTGCCTATCTGCACTGGAAGTATCAGCTCCTCTTTCATTTCCAGCCAAGTCAATTAGGGAAAATTTACCATGTAGCTTCCCTTTCCTCCGAAGGATGATCTGAAACACTGCATGACTTCGAGATGAGTGTGCATTTGCTGATGTTTGGCCAGATGTTCTTTAACAAAGAGATGGGGGTGGGAAAAACAGAATGAAATGTCCCTGAATGTTATTAACAAGATTAGTGCATTCAACACTGATAAGACTATAATTTCTGTTAAAAATTAAGACATATTCTAACAATAATCAAAGTAAGAAACATTTGAAAGGTATATATTACAATTATGCTGTCCTTTTCACTTACAATTTTGGTTGAGACACATTATTAGCATGTTTTCCATTTATACCACAAATTCTACAATATCTCTAAATTCCATAAAAATATTTAAAATATATTTACATGTGAACATAAAATGGGACAATGCTTAAAATAATTGTTAATACATTTGAAAACAGTAATTTGTTTATATTAAAACTGCTTCTTATAAAAAGAGGAAAAATCTATAAATTGTATGGAAGAAAAACTTTCCTCTAAAATATAGGCAATTCTGAAACTCTATTTAGGTTGTACTCCAAGAAAATACACATTTTTTTTTAAAAAAAATCAAACTATTTAATTTTTTTAATGTTATCTATTATAATTTCATAATGTGAAAGGGGAAAAAAGAATACCTGCAACTGTTGCCTATCTCAATAAGTTTTAGAACATCTTCAACACATTTAACCTCTCGCTCCTGTAATCCCACCACCTGGACTTGCTGTTTACCATCTTCTAAAACTCTTAATTTGGTCTTCCTGTTCAGTAAGTCGAAAACCTTACGGGGGGAGTGGGAGGGAGGGAGAAGAGATGTATGTGTTAGCTAGGGAATTTCTGAAGTATTAACTTAGTTCTGTTGAAACAGTTGTTTATATAAAACAGAGAAGAAGCGTAAGCACAGAAGATAAAGATTCAGAAGTTATATATTTTAGGAATAAATCACGTACCTTTCCACTATAAATCTCGAAAAATGTTGCATATACTTGAAGTTCCAGTTTTTTATAATTTGGCTTCTTCAACATTAAAAAGACATCTCTAGCTGCAAATAGATTACAATTACAGGAAATGGGAAAAGGAAAAACTTCAGAAATGCACAACAGTTCACATACGGATATATTTATTAACTATACTGAGTGATCAGCTAAAAAAAATGCTGGAATTTATAAAACAGTTTCTGTGTTCATTATGCTTTATCTAGAAATACAGAGTTCACATGTAGTATGGAACTGTATTTTGACGCTAAAGGCACAAACAGAATCGAACATAAATAACAGGCTTGCGCTATTCCAACTCCCATCCCTCTTCCTTCAGAATTGCTTGAAGAAGGCCTGTAACATCAATGACATCCGACCCAATTCCCAACTTGCATTGTATGTGTATCTGAAATTATAATTTAAACCAGGAATCATAATTTAGTTGTTTTTAAAAGTCCAAATACAAGTTCTGAATTGCTGAGCTATTAACTAGAGTTTAATTTTCTTGATTCATATATCATAAGCTAGGGAATCAGACAATATTGATAGATATTGGTTATTTCCCTTCCAGAAGAATAAAATGAAAGGGATAACTTTTCACACAAACATACAGCATAAAATAACATGGGCTCTATACATATTCATATATCCCATTTGTGTCCCATCCCCCCTGCTTGTGCATAGATTCTAAAACCAAATTAAAATGTTGCAATTAGCATTTATTTGTAATTTAAAGTTTTAAATTACAATGTAAAACAAGTAACAAAGTGTTTCACCCTAAGGATTATGAGCTAACAAAAGTTTGGCAAAAAATATGTTCCCACCTCTTTTAACTCGTCAGACCTCTAAACTCTATCTCAGGGGTCGGCAACCTGCGGCTCTGGAGCTGCATGCAGCTCTTTGGGCCTTCTGCTGCGGCTCCCTATCCCATTGCTGGCTGGCCCCGCCCCTTGCACCTCTTTTTTTTTTTTTTGAGTCCATCCCAAAGCAGCAGGAAGCAAAACCAGATAATTCTGGTTCCACTAACCATGACTTAGGTTTGAACCAGCCGTCTTATTTTCTCAGATCTGCTAAGCTCAATTGAATGTATCTCTACTATTGCCTGTAACCACTGTTTTTTCTCCCCAAAAATGTTACTGCTTTCTATTTATTTAAAAATGTATCAGTACAGTAGTCCTCATTTAATAACTGTCTTATTTAGTAATTGTTCAGTTACAATGGTGATGAAAAAGTAATTTTATGACCTGTCCCTGCATTTATGGCCTTTGCAGATATGTAAAGCAAAGGAAAGCTGAATTTAAATCATAAGCAGATTATGATTTCACTTGGTCACTGTTTCATTTAATGACCAAGTTGCAGCTGTGTTCTGTACATGAGGACTACCTATCTCATGTTGTGGTCACTAAATGAGAACTATCTGTAATCTTTTATTTTTTTGTCCCAATAGTTGGGGAAATAGGGAAAAATGGGCGGGGGGGCATAACAAGGTAGTACAAAATAAAGCATTTTTAAAGGACAGGGGCATGAGAGAGATATGGAGAAAGAGAAAGAAGATGAACACTGCAATCCATGTTTTCATGCTAAACAACATAAAAGTGATTTTATTTTATCTGTTTCTGATTTTTTTAAAACTTTCTAGTTTAGTCTATGTAGCTCTGATAAAACATGGTGATCTTCCATCTGAGTATTAACCAGATCCACATATGCTTACCTTTTCAGGATTAAAATTCAAGATCAACATGTGACCCATATACCTAGTGATTAATTTAAACTGACAGGTATATCCATAAGTCACAAATGGTCACATTTTGAAAAACCTGTATACTAGAATCAAGTAATTATAAGAAAAAAAATGTAGTAGTGGGCAACATGTTGAGGAAGTACAGGGTTGTACTTACTCTGAATAATGAAAGTTTACTGAGGGATTACTCAGTAAACCCCGAGTGTCATTATGGCAAAAACAGAGGAGTTTAAGTACTATGTACACTGCTTTGGGATATCAATCCCTCTCTCTCAATAAAAAGTCTCAGGAGTCTCTCAGACACCACCTTAGAGATTGTTGTGGCTGTGGAATAGCAGAGACATTTTACTGAACTTTCAAGGAAAGTTTTCTTTTTTGGGGAGATATCACAAAAACCTCCTGCTACAAATGTTCATTTGTCTCAAAGGTGCTTTTTCAGGAGGCAATTGGACTTTCTTGTTTTTTTCTTTGAAGACATTTCGCTTCTCATCCAGCTGTCTGTAAGGAATATAAATCCTTCCATTCCCCACTATCCTGTCAGAGCTGAAGAAGTTTCTTGGATGAGAAGCAAAACGTCTTCAAAGAAAAAACAAGAAAGTCCAGTTGCTTCCTGAAAAAGCATCTTTGGGACAACCATGACCTGAATGACTGAGAAACTCTCTATAGACTTTTTTCAAATGTTCATGATTACATTTTCCAAGGTCCATCCCAAAGTGGATCCACATTACACAACTAGTGTTTGTTTTCAACTTTGAGGGCATGTTTTCAGTGATTTCAACTATAATCACAGTAGTATTAAAATTTCTTACCAGCAAGTGCATAAATTCCTTTTGAACAGTCTTGGTTCTTTCCTGAAAAGTCACCACCCATAGTCTAAGGCAAAAACAAAATGAGCAATATTAGAGGGGCAATTATGTAAATTCACAGCCTTATTTATAAAGAAGCATGACTATACTATCATTTTCAATTAGCAGACCCATGTAAAATAAGAGAAATTGTTCTCTCAATATGCTAAAGTTCCCTTTATAGTGCCAATAAATACCTCCCCTCCCCCAAATGAAATAAAACTTAAGGTAACTATGGATGTTTTAATTTAATAGCAACCCATCTCTGAAGGCTTAAGGGTCTGAGTAGACCTCTCTGTCTTCAAGGATCTTTACCACACTGGTGTGACCTTAGGGCAAGACCTCCCTAACCTGAAGTTGCTCTTGAAGGCAATGCCTGCTCTCATCACTCAAACTCAATCCCAAACACAAGAGTTGTGGGGTGAGTTATCTGATCCCCAGAGAATTTCTCACTGAGGCCCCAAGGAAAACAAGGAAATTTAAAGCTCAAAAACAGGAGAAGGAAGACTCTTCATATCAGGATTCAGGTCAACAATCCTAGAGAGGAATTATAATATGAATGGAACTCTAAGCATCTGATCACTCTACAGAAGGTATTATTCACAGCTGGGGAACCTACTGGCAGATGCTATAAGGGTCACCCAAAGAATGTTGAAATTAACAGGAAAACATACATGGGTTTTTCCACTGCCTGTTTGTCCATATGCAAAACATGTAGCCATTCCTCTTTCAAATATGGTTTCCACTAGTGGTCTGGCAGTAAACCTTCAGCAAAAAAGAAAATAACATTCAACTATATTTAGTATTTAACTCAAAACTAGTGAAGCTCCATATAACAATACCACACTTTGCTACAATTCTTGTTCCATTCTTATCCAAGATTTCAACAGCTGAGTTTTAAGAGAATCAGTAGAATTACTATGATCAGAAATTATTTTTGAAAAACTGAAGAACCACTGAATACAATAAGCTCCTATTCTATCATCTATATATATCTTTTAAGTTAGCTTAAAATACAAAAAAAAAACCACCCCATTTGTTAAGGTATGTGTATATAAGAGGGTTTGATATTCAGGGCAGAAAACTGACATAAATGATTTAAGGTAGCAAACTGAACTAAATGAAAAGCTTGTATTCAACACAGATAAAAATAAGTGTCTCAAGACAACGCATATCACATATATAAACAAAAATAGTTAAATCAGTGGAAACAGGACACTAAAAATTAAATACATATTAAGTTTTCTATTTTAAGGAAGGGAATTTTTCTATGGAATTCTTAATTCCAAACACATACTATTCTTTTCGTTTAGATATGCAAATACAGTGGTACCTCATACTCATTAATTGATTCCGGGAAGTATAAATCAAGTACCAAAACCGATGAGTACCAAACCAATTTTTCCCATAAGGAACAATGTAAATAAGTTTAATGCATTCCCGAACCAAAGACAATGCACATTTTTAAGGCAATAAGTAAAATGATAGGGTTGTATATTGTTACTTTACATGAAAAATAAACCTAAACATTAATAAATACTGTACTTAGATTGAATAAAATAAAAGTTTCACTTTCCCTGTACTGAGAAAAGTCCATGTCCTAATGAGATTGTTCTGTTCTGGTCCATACACACGAACTCATGAGGGAGTTTTAAAGACTTTATTAAGACAGATCCCACTCGCACCCACTGCAACATTCCCGAATCCAAGCCTGCTCAACCTAGGTGCAGGATTATGAAGTCTGTAGGCAAAGGCGCAAGTCCATACATACACAGTCCAAAATCAAGGCACAATCCACACATGATAAATCCAAGTCAAGGTACACGTCCAAAATCTGAGAAGCAGATTTAAAATCCAAACACCCAGTCACACGAAGCACAGATCTGAAGTCACAAAAACTGGAGTCATGGAGTTGGAGCACATGCACAGCAGAGAAAATGGGCAGTTGTTTCCAACGTCACGTTGCTCCATATGTTGGGCTAAATAGGCCCACCCCAGTGTAACTCATTAGAAGGGACGAGGAGCCTCGCAAGTAGCCTTCCTGTCCTCTGTTATGCCTCCCTCCCTTTCAACCCTATGCATCAGTGGAAGAAGCAGTTCCTCCTCATCCTTGCTGACTGGCTGCAGCTGTGATCCTTCTCCACCCTGAACTTCTGACTGGGTCTCCAAGCCCTCCTGCTGCAGCTGCATATCTCCCCTCTCCTCTCCAGCCAGTCATCTGGTCCATCTCCTGATGACCCCTCCAAGGTTCCCGGCCTCTTCTCTTCCTGTGACCCATTCACTCCTTGCTCAGAGTGAATGGAGAACTTGGTATCTTCCTGATGCTTCCCCTTGCCCTCCTCTGAAGTCCCCGGAGTCAGTTCTTTGAGCCGATGTCTGGGGAAGTCATTACAGGGATGGTGGGAGGAGAGTGCTGAGGAGAAGAGGTTACATGGAATTGTTTGGAAGGAGAAACCGCCTCTAATAGAAGATCAGGCACTTGCACTTCAGATGTTCTTTCTCTTTTCTGCCTTTTTTCAACTTGCACCACAGGCTCTGACACACTTTGTCATCTTCACTAAAAACGTATCCAATGAGAATGAGAACTGCTTGTCTTTTCAGAAGTTGTCGAAAGTGTGAAATTGTTTGGTCACTGAATAAATTCACATTTCTTCAGTGAGTCAGGAGGCAGCCGATAATGACAAGTTTTAGCTTGTGCTTCAAGTACCAAACAAACCATGAGGACCAGGACAAAATTTTCATGTCAAAATTTGATGAATTTCAAAGCAGTCAAGTACCGAGGTACCACTGTATGTCTAGTTAAAATTTTCCTTGCTAGTTTGGAATCGATACCACTGAAATTTTCTTACATTTTTAGCTTTCTTTTTACCAGCTGCAGACCCAGAACTCAAGGAAGCTTACATGAAATAAAACATCCATTGTGAAAATTCTAAAAAATTCGTTATAACATGCCTGGAGTTTTTTGGCAGCTTATCATAGAGCATACTTTCCTGCAGACTCTCAAACAAATGCTCTGTTAGTTTGTGATAGCTTAACAGATAATATTGAGAAGATGTGTCAATATCAATGAGAATACATTGACTCAGATATCCAAATTGGAGAGTTACATGAACTTGCAGAAAATGAAAGCATCGGGTTTTACATTGCACGCAAACAATACATACCTGTAGACCATTTCATTAGGGGCGCTGTCATCAAAGGCATAATCAAATCGGAATGTTTGGTTTTCTAAGTACCTTGTTAAATCTACTTTTTGCTTAGGTTCATGTACCATCACAACATCTTTGCTTGGAATTGTTATGACATCAAGGTCTTTCATTACAGTTTCTAAAGAGAAAATAAACATTACATTAATTTTCAGAATACCTGAGTTTAACAACTGAAACATTCATATGATGAAGACAGTGAAATTAACTGAATCACCCTGTGATTAAATAATTTGACATGTAAAAAGATACTGTAGCCTATATGGAAATAAGCTATAATATCTTTTTATACAAAGTTCATTCTGTGAATTTTTAATAAAAATAATGTATGTTTGCAGGTCCTCACTCCAAGAATTACCTTAGAAATTAAACTACGCAGAAAATTTGTACAATTTATACCATGCGGCCATTTTGCCATTTGTTTCACTTTTATGCAAGGACACCTACAAATTATAATTTATTATATTTAATGAACACACTGTTCACAAATATAAATAATTAAAAACCACAAGGTTTGAATGAAAACATGAATTGTAAGAAATTTACAAAATTGAACCTAAAATATGCCTGGCTTCTTTCCAAACCTAAAGTAGTCACCTCCTAGGTATCAACTCTTTATTTTTTGCTTAATATTTCTACATTCTAATCCAGAAGTCAGCAAACTATGGCCCCAAGATCCAAATCTGTAAATGTCCAGGCAGGCAGCAGATTGCCAGGGATGATCCTCAATCAACTTCCTAGGACAAGGGGCAGACTTTTCTGGATAGTGGTAGCAGCCTTCCAATGGCTGTACTTGCAGAGGTGAAGGGGATCTGATCCTTTAGAGAAAAAGTTTGCCGACCTTGTTCTAGTGGTCTCTGATTGAAACAAAGTCAAATCAGTACCTTGAATTAAGTTTAAAAATGAACAACACTAAGCACAAACAACTGAGAATGAGTTTCATACAGGTAGTCCTCAAGGTACGACCATTTGTTCAGCAGCCATTTGATGTTATGAAGGCACTGAACAAAGGGGCTTACAATCAGTCCTCAAAGTTATCACCACCGCAGCACCTCCATGGTCATGTGAACAATTTGGCAATTAATTTGTAATTATGACTCATTGCAGCCTCCTGCGATCACAGGGTCACTATGTGCAACTTTCCTTGCTGGTTTCCCACTCGCAGAGTCAACGAGGAAGCTGGCAGGGAAGGTTTCGAGTCGATTGGGTAAATCTCCCCTATCCTTCCAGTCTTTCTTTGCCCACACGTACTGCACCTTCCTCCGTTTCCTCACAGGCTATCAGGCCTAGTCCAAGATTGATGCAATATGGTCCCGTTTTTTATCTGCTCATACCATACAGACTGAATCTTGCCTGGCTAAACTTATACTACCCTGGATATAATGGATATAGCCTGGGAGATTCTGGGGAGTAGCTATCCTAAATCTCTTACCTTTCCCAGAATCCAGCTCTGGATTCTGTTGTTTTTTGCCTTGCCCCCCTCCTTGGAATGAGCTCCCTCCTTCCTGGTAACCTGCAGTTGTGTTACTGTAGTTTATCACATATGTATGTACCCACCAATGCCCTTCTTCCCAAGCCTCCTTTGGGCCATGCACCCCATGTCCTTTTCCCACAGCTATCCTGCACTCACACACATTTATGGAGCCACCACTGCTCTCCTTCCTGGCCCTCCCTGCACTTGCATTCATATCACACCCTCTTTCCCTTGCCTCCCTGTGCTTGTACACACCCACCAGCACCCTCCTTCCCTGGCCCTCCTGCACTCATGCCATGCAATACACATGTCTAGAGAGCATTCCGAGCTGCACATCTACTACATCAGGATGAATATATCCCTGTCTAAAATAACCATCTTCTCTACTTTAAAACTGCACACTAATGGTATGGTGGGATTCATTATCAAATGCTTTGGTCCCTATTCTTACTGATTTGTAAACTTACGTTCTGGTAAATTACATTTATTATTTTTCATTAGTAAAATTCATGTATTGCAATAGCAGCAAATATCTCAAAAGACACATTAACTTACAACCAGCCTACGAACCCCTCAGAATCCAAATCAACCATACAGCCAACCAGAGAAAAGCACCAAACCTCAACCAGCACCTTTAACCAGCACTCCACCTCCAAGCGACCCTCACCTGATGTAACCTCCCCATCACAAAACTCTCACTGGTGACTCACACCTGACCCATCACAAGACTCTGATCTGATGGAACTCACCTGGCGTGACCTCACTATCACAAGACCTACTGACCACACGAAGCCCTTATAAACAGAAGAACACTTGACACCCCCTAAACTCTGCTGAAGGTGTTACCTAGCCTGGTAACAAAATGTTTGGAAACCAACCCTCAAGCTCAGAGACTGAACTTTCACCCTCCACCCTCAAATTCATGTATATTTTAATACTGTATGCCTGTGTGTGGCATGCACATGTGTGTGTGTGTCTTCAAGTCTTTGTTAATTCCAGGTGACTACCTGCAGTTTCCTTAGTAAGATTCCATAACTGGTTTGCCACTGCCTTTTTCCTGGGTCTGAAAGAGAATGGCTGTCCAATGTCACCCAGCTACCTCTGTGCTAGAACTCAGTCCCGCCCCCCCCTACCACCCCATGGTTTGTAACTCAATGTCTTAACCATTACATCAAACTGACCTTTATCCCTTTTGAGCAGTGTAATCTTTAAAACATTATCAGTCATAATTCATTTTAATCTGATTAACAATGTATGAATCAGTAACATTTCAGAAAACTATCCTTCATGATTTTATCAAAATCTATTGCTGTACAATTCTTAATACTAATTGTTAACTGTGTGAAATGTCTGTCTCAGCAAAAACATGCCCAGTGTACCAAAGGATACACAAACAAAAGAAGTGTTGTACCATCAAATACATACATATTTCCTTTTTCTGTGGGAAGATATTCCTCTAGGCATAAAACTAAACACACTGAAAGTTCATTCATACAAAATGCATTATTTTACAATAAATATTCCAACTATTCCAGCTCTTTTGATATTGTATGAAATTGAAGCAACTGAAGTTTAGTTTCAAATGATGTATATGTGTTCAGTTTTTTATCACTGCTGCTAAAGAATAAAAGTAATTCTATTGGTCAATAATTGCAAATTAAGTACACAGGAATACCGCAGAAGGAAATAGCTAAAGGTATGGCTCTTAAGGAAAACCTTACTTTATACAATTTTAAATAAAATTGCTATAAAATCTACAGCTTTTCCTAATGGGTTTTAACAAATTTATCTAGAGCGGCATTCACTTATATTTAGAATAAATTCATTAAATGTTGCATGCCAAAAATTTAAAGCATATTTTAATACTTACTTGCTAAAAGAATAATTTATTAAGCAATTTATATAGCCATCCAATTAACACTGTCATTTTATTTCACATTTTTAAACAGCTACTATCCACTCAAGAAAAATTTGATCATGATTGGAAATGGATGGTCCTACAGATAACTTGGGTCTGTACCATGTAGAGTTTTATAGGTAATAATAAATACCTTAAATTGAACCAGAACCCCCTGGAAACTAGTGCTGCCTTTTTATTCTGTCGAAGTCTTTATCTTTTCATTTTGTTTGTTCCTCACTGGGCTTCTGAATTCTAATTTTCTTCCAAACATTTACTCCATGGCTTGAACAATTTTTAGCTCATACCAGTTTCAAATAACCAAAAAAAAAAAAAAAACCCCTCTCAGTTTCCAGTTGCTGTTTTCACTGTTGTCTATTCTTATTAGGGCATCTATCTTTCAATTTGCCACTTTATTAGTCTCCTGGGCTATGGCTCAGTTTATTGAGCGTTTTCCTCACAGGCAGCCATTTTGTCTTCCCTTCTTCTTTCCTCCTGTCCAGCATTGTAGTTTGATTGGAACTAGGTCATCCTGGGGGAGTGCCAAGAAAGGAGGGAGGGGGAAGAAGCAGCACAGGTGCTTATCACCTAGTCAGGCAGTCTGTCCCTTCACAGGGCCATACTCCAAAAATAGGCAGTGGCAGGACAAAAACTAAGATAAAATTAGTTGAACTAATGACTACTAATTAAAATCATAGTAAAGAAAATATCCCGTTTAAAAAATTGCTCCACCATCTGCTGGTACAAACACCATTTTTTTCAGAGACAAATCACAATCCATCATTTATATCACATGCAAATATAGAGAATGAATGTGTGGGAAACTGATGTAATCTCAAGTAAGCAGAAAAAACACAAGAAACACATAAACACAAGAAAAATTATGTCATCAAGTCAGTACTGACTCTTAAAAGCCACATAGATAGATCTTCTCCTGGATGATCTGTCCCCAAAACCGCTTTTCCAGTCTTCCAACTGTGTAGCCATCATTGCTGTAATCATGCCCATTCACCTTGCTCCTGGCTGCCCTCCTCCTTTTTTACCTTCCATATTTCTCAAAATTATGGACTTCTCAAGAAAGCTATGTCTGTGCATAATGTATCAAAATATGATGATTGGATTCTGGTCATTTGTGCCCCAAGTGTTAATTTGTTCAATGGTCTATTTGTGTTTTCATGGCTATCCAGGGTATTCTTGAAGACTTCTCCAACGTAAACATTCAAAAGTATCAATACTATTTCTTCAAAGTCTAACATTCATTTTCATAGTGTCACAGGGAAAACCATCACTTGCACAATTCTGATCTTGTTGGTACAGTCAGGTTATGGCATACAAGTATCTTTTCCACAAATTCAATGCTGCATTACCCTCTAAGTATACTTGACTACTAGTTCCTTTACTCTTTACTTATTGATAGTTTGGGGAAGTGAAGCTGGGATTGTTGTCTGCTATTGAGAAAAAGCAGCTTCAGCCAGGCAAAAACAGTTCCCAACGTATTTCTCTAAGGGTCAGCCCAGCTCATTGCTTTTGCTCAAAGAGCTGTAAAAGTTTACAGCTCCAAAAACCTGAGAGATGGGCTCATACATTAATTCATTCATTCACTTACAAGTTTACTTACAAGCATCTGCGCTGGTGTTCCAGCTGCCTGGCTAAATGAGCTACACCATTTTCAAGGATGTGCCAACTTCCAGAGGCAGCCTCACTCCATCCAGGCCCTTAAGCTTACAAAAGACAGAGTGTGTGTGGGCGTGTAGAACAAAAAGAGATTTAAAAAATAGCAAGCAGACAGGGAAGCAGGAGGCGACCTTTGGAGATTGACAATAATTAGCAGGCAGGCAAGAGAGCTATCAAGCAGGCTAAGGATCACAAGCTATAGTAAGCAGCATATCCTGGTGAGATTCCTGCCTAGGCCTTGGCTTGGGAGCTCAGCTGGAGTACTCAAAAGCAACATATCTTTTACTGGGTAAAATATAAGTGTGGTTTACCAATGCTTTCTCCCACACAGTATGAAATGATAGCTCTTGCTATTGTCACTGTTTTGATCGTTTATCTCTAGCATCTTCCTATATTACTGCTGCCCAATGGACAGACCAAAAATCCAAAGTATATTTCCTTGGGAAAATAGCCACTGAACTCAATACAACCTGTTACAGAATAAGCATTTCTATATTTACCCAATAAAAGTTTGCTAAACCCAGTCCAAATACCTTCAAAAGCACAGCCTGTTAACTTGTTCATACAAACACATCCCAGAACTGATAAACAAACAAAAAGTATTCTCTGCTATTAGTAGCTTAAATTCAAAAGTTTCAGGTACAGTAAATATAATTTCAGTTTGTCATCTATTTTGATTACAATTTTTAAAGAGTTAATAAAAACCTGTTTTCTTACAAGGCTATTAACAAATGTATTTTTCCTCCCAGCTTCAAATTTCTCCTCCCCTCCCTCTTTAAGACAATTTTTTCACTTCACAATATAAGCAATTCCAAAATAATTTCCATTTTCTAATACCATAATTTTGTATTCAGCTTTTCTACAGATTACAGCTTGAGTTTTTCCATCGTTTATCTCAGATCTAAGTTATGTCCTCCCTCATTCTAATATGGTGGGCAAATTAAAAAAAGTTCAGTTAACAATCTCACATTTCAAATCTATATTTTCATTAACTTAAAATGCATTTTATGGCTATAATTACATTCTGATTCTATAAACTCATCTTTAAACTAATTTTAACTATTTATACCTCAAAAAGGCTGGATTGAAAGAAGAAATTTAATATGTAACATCTTAAAACTTATCTACACATTCTAAAATCAAGTTCAGCTGTGTATATGGTTTCAAGACTAAACCCATTTGAAAATTATTTTTGATCGCACTTAAGATCTGTATGTTAAAATGAGCCATACCTTTTTTATTGAGTGGTCGTTTTCGAACACATACACATATCCTGTGCTCATCAATCTTTTACAAAAAAGGAAACAAAATGGAAGTTAAGTTAAGTAAGTAAAAATTGTACTTGAAATTAAAACTCAAAGAGAAATGTATTCAAGCAATTGTATATAAGATTATATAACTGTCTATTTTTAAAAATACCGATGATCTAAAATTCATTGTTATGTACTCTTGTAGTTCAACATTCCACAGTGAAATATGTTTCAATTAGTTACAGGTTCCTATAGGCTTTCAAGATAAACCACTCCATGTGGTTTAGGCTAATTCTTTTGGCCAATTTGAATACCTCATCAACAATGGTGGATGAGTGACATATTTTATTATTCATATTGCTGTAAAAACTACAGCACCAAACCCAAGATGTGGTAAGTTACTTTTGTTCTAATACGAAAATATTTCTTAAAAGAGACATCATTTTATAATCTCCATTTAATTTTTCTAATATCAAATGTACATTTAAACTCTTTTGTAAGCACAGGTTCTCATGGCTGAGATTTGCCAATTCCCCCCTCATAGCGGGTAACACCAATTAGACACAAAAGCATCCTAAAGTTATATCTGTACTGGTTCCTAAACCTAGATTTGAATTGAATAAATTTATCTACACATTCTAAAATCAAGTTCAACTGTGTATATGGTAACCTTCTAATAACCTAAGCATAAAGTTAATTTCAGAGTTAAGGGCAAAACATTATTGCAAATTTTGCTTAAATAAATCAATTCAAGGAAACTGTCAAATAGTAAAAAATTAACATGGTCTCTTTGAAATGAAGGGTTAAAGATTATTATTTAAGATTCAGTTCTCAGATAGATTTGCTAGGAAAGAAATAACTAAAAGTGAACATTTGTTTAAATACAACGACTTCAATTTCACAATTTATTCACTGCTGACCATGTTACCATTCAAAATGTCAGCAAAACTTCTTTTAATTATTACATATTAACAAAACTTACAGGATCTGCAGTTGTTAGTGGTCTATAATCCAAACTTCCTCTGAAATCTCTGATCATACACATGATTTCATAATTTGGATTTGTGGCATCTACATCCTAAGAGAAAAAAAATCATTACTAAAACCATATTGGTCATGCCACTGTAACACATACTTATCATAAATATTACAAGAGAATCCTGAATGGAGATAATAGGTTTTTAAATATCAATTTTTCTTCTAAAATTCATGTATGAGAAAGTAGACCCAATTCACAAGTCAAATATGTGTTTAAGTGTAATGCAAAATGAACAAACTTTTGGTGGCTATTGCAATCAACATTTTTGGCAGTAGGTGAGGTAATGATGCAAGTGGATAATTCCATGTCATGCATATGGTTGTCTATTATTACTCTGGAAAGAGAGTAAGACGGAAAATGTATTTTTCCTTTTTGTAATAAAATTTATTGCTCAGACTTTATTTTTATGTATTCACTGTCATCAAATTTTTACAACATCTATCCCACTTCATGTGTCCTACCTGTTCTAACATATGCCAGTGAACCATGGACACTAATCTCACAATTGATACAAAAGCTACCATTGGCACAAAGAGTCATGGAAAGATACATGCCTCAGAATCACAAGACGAGATAGAAAGCTCTGCACGTGGATTAGAGAACAAACAAAATATATCATGCTGTCAAAAGAGTAAAAGAATTGAAATGGAAATGGGCTGGTCACATAGCAAGAAGAACTGATGGTAGGTGGACTAAGGCAGTCATAGAATGGTTCTTGATAAAAACCATCCACAAAAAAGAGACCTAAAACAAGATGGATCAACATCAGCAAGTATTGTGGGCCCAACTGGCAAAGGAAAGCTCAAGGCATACTGATTGGAAACATGCAGAAGAGGCCTTCATCCTGCAGTGGATAGACAATGGCTAGAATGATGATGCTGATCCTATCCCACCTAAGTGACTCTGACAATTTGTCACAAACCTACCCTAAGCAGCATACATTCCAACACAGTAAATTGGTTAGAATGTAGGACCCATATAGCACAACGTAACAATACATATCTCATAAATCATACCCCAAAAAATCTAACTATCATTCTTGGGGCGGGGGAGGGGGGGAATCACTACTCTCAACTCAGGTCCCAAAATTTTTCTGAAAAAGGCAAATTACAATGGCTTTATTAAATACCAACAATGCCAAATTAGGTATTGACTTAATACTGGGGGGTGGTGTGTGTGTGTGTGTGTGTGTGTGTGTGTGTGTGTGTGTGTGTGTGTGCGCGCGCGTGAAAAATGCTGTTTTCCAAAAAAAAAGTGCCAGGGGCCAAAAAGCTTTGACTTCATGAATCTGATGGTTATGTAGCATTTTACCGCTCACACTTAAGTCATTTGGGTTGCACATTTTGAAAGTAGTAAAATGAATGAAGGAATGATTGTGGATCTTCAGATCAAACAAAAAATCTGAAATATTGTCGCTATTTATTTTATAATCAAATTTATTACACTGTAAATTTCTAAAGCCTTTAAACCAGTGCTTCCTAAACCGGGGTAAATTATCTAAAATTGGATATAAGTGGCTTTTCTTTGGGTAATAACCCATAAACATATTACCCAAACATACCAGGGATATTTAAATTGATTTAAAGTGTAATTTACATTGGGTAAAAACGAATTTCTGATAAGTGGTTTGAGTAATGAAGCAAAATGTTTGGGAAACATCGCTCTAAACAGTTCTTAATAAAACTATACAGTGGCAATTAAAACTTAAAATACTAAAATACAGTCATCAACATTAAAACTCTTGAGTTTATATCATAGAGACTTTTCAAATACCAACCAAGGAAGTTTTGAATTCAACTGAGAATCAATCACTTCACTGCAAGAAGGGATATGGGCAACAATAAAAAAATATTTGGTCTGCAAATAACCGCTTTATCAGAATATCTTTAGATCCTGGCTTGCGCCGAATGACATGAGCATGCTAAAGCTGATCTTGGCTGCAGTTACCGGATTATTAGCATTTTTTTGTTAAACTGATCAACAAGTGTAGATTTAATTATTGTGGTGGAACCTCCAGCTACAGTACACTGGAGGGAGGTGTTAAGAGGGGCCTGGTTTAGAGTCCTTGCACTGCAGGAAGTTGCAAGCCTGACCTCCTCCACAATCCCTGAAGCCTCATCTGACCAATCTGAAAGGAATGCCTTCAGTCTGGTGAGATTCTCAAATCATGGCTGACTAATAATGAAACTTCCACTTGAGATTGTTTATGAGTGGTTCAGATTGCTTGTGCCTGACAATTATGGAAGAATTAAGGGCTGGTACCTATCAGTATGAATTGGTGTAATCTAGGATGGTATGGATGCATATTAAACTAGGAATCCTTAGGTTGGTGATAGTTGCATGTTATAGTCTAATTTGAGGAAAAAATGTCTAATAATCTGAATGAATAAGATCCACATTATTCTGCTAAGGGAGATAAGAGATGGGTGGGAATAACATAAAAGAGGACCATTAAGTAATTTAAGAATGGCATGATTACTATCATAATTACTGAGAAAGACTGAGAAATTAATAAGCTTGTAAGAGTAAGCATGGGACAGACTGTTTTATGGTAGTCAAAACTGATCTAATAAAATATGGTCATAGAAGGAAAAAAAGTTAGAAATTGCTATGAAAATAGAACTACTGAAAGAAGTTAAAGTACAACTCTTGCATTAAGATGCATTGTAAAAAAAGATTAGCCTCCCAATTTTGGGGGAGGGGGGAATGATGTTGAAAAAAGGATATGGAAGCTGCTTGGAACAGAATAAAAAGATTTTGAAGAAAATTCAATTCAATGCATTGTTTTAAATGGTTAGAAAAATATGAACTGTACACAGAAGCACTATCAATGAAAAAATTAAAAACCTGTGCTCGTTTCTCTCTAATTTCCTGTTGCTGTAATCTTCGTTTTTCACGCTTTTCTTGTAATTTTTCAACTTCTTTCACACAATTTGATTTTCTACGTGCTTAAAGAAGAAAGACAACTTTTGTCATACAATGTATTTCAAGTTTTCAGTTTTTTAATTAATAAGATTGAGAACTGTCCCTGCTAATTTAATTCAATATAAATGGGTTTAAAAATTCCTAATATATAACCATCTTCTGAATAACCATTTTGAGCTGTGGGAGACAATATGAAGAAATTGCCAGAGCTTGATAATATATTGTTCACATAGCCAGCCTGTAATATAATCTGGTTGCTACTCAACTGCACCATAGTTTGTACACCACCTGCAAACTAACAAATTCTGCTGGCTGCTCTCCCAGGGACAGAATTTTAATATAGGCCGGAGAGAGAGAAATTTTTTTCTTAACAAATCTGGGCTGAAAATAAACCTTCAACCAGTACTTTTTTTATCGTCCCACCCTCTTTCTTCCCTTGTTTTGTAATGTTAAGCAATTATCTTATCATGGGCGTGTTACATAACAGTTAACAAATACAGAATGTATTTTTTTTATTTGCAAATCTGTTGGCCTAGCTAAGCAACAGGGGACTCTTCAGGGAAATTTTTTCAATATTTAGTTTATACTGTTTTTGTCATAATCATTCTCGCTGGCCCTAGAGAACAAGAGAGGATAGCATGACTGCTTAACAAGGAAAGCAGAGTCCCCCACTTTCCACAAGGAAGACTAATCGAATTCTTTTCTATTAAGACTACTTAACTTAGAGGTCTCACTTAAATGGCTAATTCAGCTTGAAGGTAGCGTGTCTACCTGTCTTACCTAGGCCAGCAGGATACGGAAAAAAAGAAGTGACAACACAGAAACAGCCACTGACTAATACATGTTACTCTCTTGGTTTGTCCTAAGGTAAGATCTGGCCGATTTTAAACTCAGCTTGTTAGTTAGAACAGAATTCTTAGTCTATTCTTACAGGACTATTGAAAAAATAATCACAATGATGTATTATAACAAGATATAATAATGGTATAGTTAAATCTGTATTTAAGCATTATGTAATCATCCAAGAGAGTCTACATGTAATGCCTAAAATAAATCCTTGATACATGGTTTACATACAAGGGGGTCCAAATTCCTTTTTTGCAGCTTGAACTGGAGATATATCTGAAACACTACCATTCTGTTGTGTAGATGATGACTGTTCAGGAAGCTGAGTAGGTCGTGCACGTGCAGAACCAATCACTGAAAAGATCAAAATAAAGAGTTTATTAAAAAAGATTTACTAAGAAAATGAGGCAAAATGGAAAAGAAATGTGTAATTGTTTCACAATTCAGTGACTTATTAATGATAATCATACTCTTCATTAAATCTGATACTCTTTAATGAAGCAAATTATAGTTGTGAAAAATCAGCATACTTCTTGGAGACAAATCAAAACATAAGAATAGGTTACATAACAAATCAGTAGTTGAATTCACAAATGACTGTCAATCTTTATGTAAGAAGTGAAATGCATGTGTCACTCTGGCAGAACCGTATAAGTACACTTAAGTTTCAAGGCCAGTAGACCTACTCTGGTGGACCTTCCCTTGTGGCAACACAAGCAACCAAAACAAATTACACAATTTTAACTTTAAAAAGTTATAGATAAGGTGTAATGGTAGGTGGTTACTCATGTGTTCCAAAAGAACTAGTTAGGCCCCATTGTCTACATATTAGCTCATGCATTACAGATTATGGGAGTCCCACACCTTATTCCAATAAAAATATTCATACCAATAATGGGAGGTGATCAGCCAAACAATGAAGCAGAGGAGTATTAATCCTCTGGTAGAGATGGGGAAAAAATGCAAGAGTCATGAATAGAAATGTACTACATGGAAGTTTTCACTCCAGACCTGCAGATCATCTCTCACTCAAACCACTTGTGCTTCTGAAACGGTTCAAGAGATTTCTAAAAATAAATAAATATTCACTGCTGGACTTATATTCTACTCCAATTATAACTGATTTTGTCCAGTTTACTTATCCTATTCTACAAAATAAAAATTTAACAAAAAATAAAGGTAAAGGTTCCCCTCGCACATATGTGCTAGTCGTTCCTGACTCTAGGGGGCGGTGCTCATCTCCATTTCAAAGCCGAAGAGCCAGCACTGTCCAAAGACGTCTCCATGGTCATGTGGCCGGGCATGACTAAACGCCAAAGGCGTAGGGAGCGCTGTTACCTTCCCGCCAAAGGTGGTCCCTATTTTTCTACTTGCATTTTTTTACGTGCTTTCGAATGGCTAGGTTGGCAGAAGTTGGGACAAGTAACGGGAGCTCACTCCATTACGCAGCACTAGGGATTCGAACTGCTGAACTGCCGACCTTCCCATCGACAAGCTCAGCATTTTAGTCGCTGAACCACCATGTCTCTTTTTTAAAAAATAAAAAAGTATAAAAATCAGCAAATAACAAACAACTCACAATTGTATACAAGGGAAATGAACACATTCAAAGAGAATATCTTAAGAGGGACCAGTTGTTCCCAAGGCTTGCTAGAAAAGCCAAGTTTTAATAATGTTTTGCAGCCCAATAAGATTGAGGAGGCTGAGTGGTGGGGGATCAATTGAAAACGGCCTCTTTCACCTTGTCTTATCTGAAAGACAGAAATAACTAAAAGGTGGCAGTCCTCAAGCCACACAGGTTTTAAAGATGATATCTAGCACCTTGAATTACATCTAGAAGCAAACGGACTATTGAAATAGTGGTGTTATGTGGGGAAATTATGACAAACACATAGCTACTCAAATTACTGCATTCTAAACTAACTGTACAGGTAGTGCTCAACTTAGGCCCACAATTGAGTCAGGAATCCCAATAGTTGGGCAAAATGTTGTTAAGCAAGGCATCATGTGACTACAGAAGGAGGCTCAGATTTTCAGGATCTGAGCTATGTTTCTGCACCACGCCAGAGGAGTTCAGTTCCCCTTAGCCGGCAGTTCTTTCCCCCACAAAATGAGATGGAGTCCTCTCAGCAGGTGGCAGTAGCTTGAAATCTTCCCTGTTGGCTCCTCCATTGATTTTCTGGGGAAACCAGAAGAGAAAATTTCAACTGGCAATCACATGATTGCAGAGCACTTGGCAACTAGTTTCAAGTGCAAACAGGTTGTCAAGCTCCCAAATCACATTCACATGATTTCAGGGGAGGCCATGATGTTTTACGACAGCTAAAAGGACTTTACGAGCCATAAAGCACCTTTTCCAAGGCTATCATAACTTTGAACGCTTTTTAAATAAATGGTTGTAAGTTGAGGACTACTTGTAGTTTCCAAGTGGTCTTCAAATGCAGCTTCAGGTATAGGGGTAAAATCCAGCAGCTTCTGACAGGTTCTGGAGAACCGGTAGCGGAAATTTTGAGCAGTTCGGAGAACCGATAGCGGAAACTTTGAGTAGTTCAGAGAATACCACCTCTGGCTGGCCCCTGAGTGGGGCAGAAATGGAGATTTTGCAGTATCCTTCCCCTGCCACGCCCACCAAGACACGCCCACAGAACCGGTAGTAAAAAAAAATTGGATTTCACCACTGCTCAGGTAATATAGATTGCAGCAGTACAAACAAGAAATGACCAAACATGTCCAAACATGAGTGATTAAGTAGTGCCTTCTACTTCAGAAAATGTCCAGAACTTAGAGGGAATCCCTCTGGAGTCAGATGGTTTCCTAAATTGTATAGGAACCCTAACCCTAACCCAAAACCATTCTATTTCAGATCATGTCTAGATTTATTCTGTGCATCCAGATCCTATAAACTTCTGGCTATCAGGACAATACTATATCATCTTTTTGACTAGGGGTGGAAATATAAAATTGGGTTACATTAGCAGATTGATAACTGATCCCATATCAACATATCAATCCCCAACATCCTTGTGTGCGTGTTAAGTAGAAGTTGGGAAAGCATCAAGCCTGTGAAATACCATAAGCCAGAGGTCTCAGCTCAACTTCTCCCCTTTATACCAACTGGAACCAGATCATCATTGCAATACAGTGCCTACCACTCCGTGACTTCAAAACTGTCCAAAAGGTACCAAAAACCAGCTAACTATAATTATATTAGGATCTGTATTATTTGGAATGTGTTACATTGTTATTACTTGGAACAGAAAATAAAATTGTCATGCAAAGTTTTACAGAAGAATAAGGCAGACAGTTTTTTTTATAGCTGGACTATTAAACTGGAATTAAATAAAAAGTTAATAAAAATTACCTCTGTTGTCTCTAGCAGGAGTTTCAGTTTTAGAAGGAGCCACAGTCCTTCGATTCTAGAGAAAGGATAGACATTCTATAATTTGTTATCCACATCCAAACAAACTTGTTGGGAGAGTTGAAGCCTTTCAGCAGGTAAAAGGAACAGCAAGTCAGCAAAATTTATACATTTGGGAAGTCCCTAAATTATTCTCAAAACCATCTACAAAAGAAGCTCTACCCTTCTGACAAATGCAAAACAGAACTGCAGAGATTGAATGTCAGTACAGTAAACACAAAAATGAGGTAAGTGTTTTCTAATTAACTATAATCTCTTTTGAGGGAGATAGGCAGTTTAGAAATGTGAAAACTAAATAAATTAACTACCACTCCCACCCGCACCAAATGTTATGTATCATATAACTAATTGGGGACGTGACCAAATTATCAACACAGTAATGAAAACTGTAGAAGTGAAATTCCATGTAAAATTTATTAAAAATTAAAAGACAAAATATGTATCTTGCAAATTATCTTGGGTTCATATATGTATTATTGCAGCTGTATTTGGAATACTGGTACAATACAAGAGGCCAATACGGAATTAATATGAAAGTTCAAAATGCAAATAGGACAAGATATTAATGAGTATCAATCATTTTAGAACTGTAAATAGCAGTTACAAAGGAGTTCAATATTATAGGACTATTGTTTTAGATATTTATTTGTTAGGCTTTTAATGTTTTAATGCTGGAAGCTGCCCAGAGTTGTTTCGTTATAAATGGGTGGCAAATTCAATCAATCAATCAATCAATCAATCAATCAATAATAGGAGAGTTTAATTCTTGCCCTGCACTTGACCAGGGAAATCTCTCTCTCTCTTTCCATACCAATCAATTCTTTAGCTGATAAAGTTTTTTTAATTTAATAATATAATACTTAGATTAGCCTTACAATTTGCTATGAACACATTGACACTATAATCCATATCAAAATTACTTCCTGTTCTTCGACTTTTTACATAAAGGGTACTGTTACTATCTTCTGTAAGGCTGGAATGGTTTCAATATAGATGAAGAACTCTTGACGTAAAATATCCCTAACAGCTTGATCACACTCTTCCACTTAGTAATTTGTTATAAAGCATAGCTGTTGGGCTTTCACATGAGGTTCTGTGGTGGACTAGATATCTCTGAACTAGCAGAGACAGCACTGTGAAAGTGAACAGCAGCCATCGCTAAAAATGTTTTTTTGTGACTGGGAGATCGATCCACCTGCATCCCGAATTGCAATTTCTTGTGAGATTGTGGGATGGAAGTCTAACAGTCTTCTCATGGGTAGAACGGACATTGTCTCACCTGAACGCCCATTTTCGGGGCGCTGCGGCTACACTCCATAGCTGGGTTACTTCCTCACGTTCTGACATCAACTAAGTGGACTTTAAATTTATTTCTCCCTTTCTCCGTGCTCTGGCCACGCCCCTTTGTCCCATGATTCCTCAGTCTTGAAAGAAGGCACAGCACAGTAAACATGGAACCGTCCAAAGAACAATAACTGGAACAACCCCTGGAATGTCTGAAAAAAACAGGAACAGAGCAGGAAGCCCAAACCGAATAAGAAAAATGGGGGGGGGGAATGGAGTGTAGCCGCAGCGCCCCAAAAATGGACGTTCAGGTGAGACAACGTCCGTTTTCCAGAGTGCTGCATCTACGCTCCATAGCTAGGATATACCCAAGCCTAAACCACAGGGGCGGGAAGCTGACTCCTCCCCGAAGCCGAGGCTGAGATGACCGACTGCAATACCCTCCTTCAGAAAAACGCCTCCAACGAAGCGTACGAGTCAATCCGATAATGTCGGATGAAGGGGGACAAGGAAGTCCACGTGGCCGCCCGACAGATGTCCGACACCGATGTTTGAGTCGCCCACGCCGCCGATGTTGCAGCACTGCGGGTGGAATGAGGAAGGATCCTGCCCGGAAGGGGCCTTGCCTGAAACTCATAGGTGGATGAAATACAGGCCTTAATCCAGCGGCCACCGTGGACGAGGAAACCTTTTGCCCCATGGAGGCGGGGTGAAAGGAGACAAGGAGGGCCTCCGTCTTCCTAAAGGAGGCCATTCGACAAAGATAGCGACGAAGTGCACGGCGGACATCCAGCGTGTGCCAGAGGACCTCCCGGTAATGTTTAGGGGAAGGGCAGAAGTCAGGAAGGATGATCTCCTGGGCCCGATGGAACCACGAGTTCACCTTGGGGGTGAACGCCAAATCAAGTCTAAGCACCATCGTGTTGGACCAAAAGATGCACAGATCTTTCCTAACAGATAAGGCAGAGAGCTCCAAGATCCTCCGGGCCAAGGTAATGGCCAGGAGGAAGGCAACCTTGAGGGAAAGAAATTTCAACGAAACAGAGGCCAAAGGCTCAAACAGCGGTGCGGTCAGAGCTTGGAGAACAAGTGGAAGATCCCAAGAGGGATATCGGTGCACTGTGGGAGGACGCAAATTGGTGGCCCCATGCAGGAATCCCCAGATCCAGGGGTGATGAGACAGAGATTGATAAGGTTGGCAAGAAAGGACCATCGATAGGGCGGCAGTCTGACACCTCAAGGTGGCTGGGGCCAAGCCTTTGTTGAAGCCCTCGTGCAGAAACTCGAGAATATCCTGGATAACCGCTGAAGTGGGATCGACATGGTGTCCCGAACACCAGAGACAAAATGCTCGCAAAGTCGCTTCGTACAGCCAAGTCATTGACAGCCGCCGGGAGGCTTGGATCATGCCAATTACCTTGTCAAAAAGTAAATCTCTCTTCAGGATGACCCGTTCAAATGCCAGACAGCCAACTGGAGCCACTGAGGCTCTGGATGACAGATGGCCCCCTGGCACAGGGAGATCCGATGTGGGGGAAATCACCCATGGACTTTCGACCGAGAACTCCACAAAATCGGCGAACCACTGGCGGAGTGGCCAATTGGGTGCCACTAACAACAGTTCCGCCCTGTCTGTGATCATCTTCCGTATGACCTTCTGAATGAGCGGGGTCGGAGGGAATGCGTATAGGAGGCCGGGAGGCCAACGACACCGTAAGGCATCTGTGTTCTCCGCCAGCGGACTCTGGTAACGGGTTATGTATCGAGGCAAGTGGGAGTTTGCGGGACTTGCAAACAGATCGATGACTGGAGTCCCGAAGCGGGCTGACAGCTCACGAAACAACTGAAGCTGAAGTTGCCATTTGGCAGGGTCGATCCGTTCCTTGCTGAGCCAGTCAGCTTGTACGTTGGCTAACCCGGATATATGATCCGCCCGTATCGATAGGAGGTGGTGTTCCGCCCAGCTGAAAAGCCTTTCCGACTCGAGCATCAGGGAGCGGGACCTCATCCTCCCCTCCCAATTCACATGTGCCTTAGCTGATGTGTTGTCCGTGAGGACTAGGACGTGTGACCCCTGCACGGCGAGGCTGAAGTGACGAAGGGCTAGACTAATCGCCCAAAGTTCGAGCCGGTTGATTACCAGGAAATGACAGCCCTGCAGGATAGCTGGCGACCGCTACCACCGAAGGGAGAGGCGAACCTGAGGAGGTACAAGTATCTTCCTCCCCGAGTTGGAACAGCTGCTCCGCTGATAAGGGAGGATGAGCCACTGCAACGGCCGGGAGTGCCTGCCGGCCCAAGGAACAATGTTGAAGCACGAGACTAGCTTTTCGAGCAGTTGAGAAAGCGTCAAAAGGGAAACGGATCTCTGAGCTAGGACCCAGATTACCAGTCCCTGATGCTCCGAACCCTGTACGGGGACAAAAATACTTGATCTGTGGTGGAGTCTATTACTGATCCTAAATGAAGGATGGATGTGGAGGAACGAGATGACTCTTGTCCAGGTTTATTGAAAAGCCGTGTTTCTGAAAAGCCGAGAGCACCCAGTCCCTGTCCTGTGTTGCCCGATCCCGGGACGACGAGAGAATCAGGATATCGTTGAGGTAACACAGGATCCTCACCGGGGCAGATCTGAGGGTGGCTGCCACCACTGCCACCAGCTTGGTGAAGGCAAACGGGGTGCTGAAGAAAGCCCGAAGGCAAACGGGGTGCTGAAGAAAGCCCGAATGGCATTGCACAGTACTGGTAGTGCGTCCCCGCATACTCGAATCTCAGGATCAGCGATGGGCGGGATGCACCGGGACATGTAAGTAGGCCTCGCGAAGATCTACAGACTGCATGAGGTCCCTGCCGCACTGACGCGAGGCTCAACCGCAGGGAATGCACTTTGAATCGGCGGTAGTGAACTGCCAGATTCAGATGCTTCAGGTTGAGGACTCCCCTGTAACCCCCCGAGCATTTGGGTATCAAAAAAAGCACCGAGTAAAATCCGGTCCCCAATTGGTCCCCGGGTACGGCCTCTATCGCCTTGATGTTCAGAAGGTGCTTGATCTCTGCTGACATGAAACTTCGCAGATCCGAAGAGCAGGGCACTGGGCATCGGATGAAGCGACTCAGGGGGGTGTCGGTGAACTCTATAGAGAAGCCCTGGGAGACCGTACGATGCACCCAGGCATCCGCCGTCGACAGGACCCACTGGTGGCGAAATGTCTGGAGCCGTCCGCCGATGGGGCTCAGCAGTTGCGAGTCATTTGCCTCGCCGGAAGGTTTTAGAGCCGGAGCCACGGAAAGGACGCTTCAAAGCATGTTGAAGCCTTCCCCTGTCCGAAAAGCAGTCACCTCTGATGGTAAGTAAAGGACCCCCCCCCCAGGCCCAGAGAAGGTCCGAAAGGGCTGCCGTTGCCGTAAGGAGTGTAACGTCTGTCTGGCTTGCGGTAGGAGGACGGGAGGACTTTGCGCTTATCTTTGTCCTCGACGAGGACTGGATCGAGTGCAGCACCAAACAAGTTGGGAGCCTTATAGGGGGCTGAAGCGAGCTTCCATTTAGTTTTTACATCGGCCTTCCAGTGACGGAGCCAGAAGAGACGCCTTGAGGTGACCGACGAGGCAAGGGCCCGGGAAGCAAATTTAACTGAGTTTAAAGAAGCGTCGGCTGAGTATTCGGTGGCTGCAATTATCTTATTAACATCTTGATGCAATCTGGTCTCCTCAGGAGGAAGCCTTTCTTGCAATTGACGCAGCCAGATAAGCGATGCCCGGTTAAAAAAACGACATGGCCATTGTTGTTCTGACCGCCCAGGCCACCGCTTGGTGGGATTTGCAGAAGGTGAGCTCCGCACGTCTGTCTTCAGACTTCAGACCGTCCAAGGGGTCCGAGGAAATGACCGAAGGTGAGGCGAGAGTCACCACGGGAGCATCGACTACAGGTAAATCCAGAAGAGCATCCAGTTCGGGGGCCGGGCAATAAAATTTTTTGTCCAGATTACTGGGGGTTGTTAAGGACCCCGGTTGACCCCACAGCATTTGAAGGACATCTGCAAACAGTTGGGGGCATGGAATGTAGTCCTTCTCCTGCTTGGCCTGCTTAAATAAGGCGTCATGGGGGCCTGCCTCAGGTTGAGAAATGGCAGCCTGTGCCCCAACCGCCCCCAGATTAGTTGTGAGGCGCGCCTTGTGCAGAGTGATTTAAACAGCGCAGGGTGAAAGAGACCAGTAAAGGCAGGAGAGTCTGGCATCAAGCCCTCGTCTTCAGAAAACTCAAAGTCCTCAGGGAAGTCTTCTGCCTGGTCCGAGTCCCCAGAGGAGTCAGACTCCCTCCGTTGTGGTGAACGAGGCCTGTGTGATGGCTGACGAGGCGCCAACCCCTGGGCTGGCCTCGATTGGGGGTCCTGAGAGGCTTGTTGTAGACCAGCCACCAGGATGTTGGATAAGGCCATGGACAGCATGGCCTAAAGGTCAAGTTGAGGGGCTATAGGTGGTGGATCCGCTGCATGGAGCCCCGCTGCAGTAGGAGTGAAGGTAGCCTCAGGCGACTGGCGGCGAGGAGGATGGGAGGAGTCCAAACCGGCAGAAGAAACGTCTGGCATAGATTGCAAGACCCCCTTTGCAAGGGACAGTGGAGCCATAGAAGCGTTCTGTGACGTTGATGGCGTGATCACAGGAGATGTCGGCTGAAGGGGTCTTGAGTCCATGGCAAGAGACGAGGATGCCGCTTGCCTGGCCTTGTCATATTGTCTCTCAAATGCCTTGTGGCGCCGCAAAGTGTCCTTGTCAATGGCCTTGGTAGCCTTGGAGCGATGGGTCTTGCGGCTGACAGGAGCAGACCACTTACCCGCCCCCTTCCTGTGCGCCTTGGCCCTGGGCGGACTCTCTTCCCGCTCGAGGTCGGAAGAAAGGGACGAATCTGCCATGGTGGTATAAAGACCTGGTAGTCCTGTTGGTTTTTTTTTTTTTTTTTTAAACAGGAAGAGGCGCCAGACAAAGACAGGTGGGACTAAGGATCCCCAAAGTTCGACCACCAGCATACAAAGTCAGACCAAAGGCCCTCCAAAGGCTTTCAGACTGTCCTCGTTAGGGAGCAGTGAAGGAGACTCAAGGTGTGGCAAGAGGCACAGTCCGGCCGGCCAGCAATCATGCAGAGGCGCCTCAGAAGGTGTGGGGCAGCTAGAGCTCCTGCTAGGTATGGGGCTCCTAGAACAAGCCAGGGGACTCCCCTCCCCTCAACGCCGCCGATTCACGGAGCGGATGGCACACAAAATGGCGGGTGAGGCAAACGGGCAACCAAAATGGTGGCCACAACCGTTGCAGTAAAATGGCGGACTCACGTTGCCGAGACCTCGCTGCTGAGGCCGGGAGCCGAGCAGGACCGCTCCGCCAATTGTCGCTGTTCTTGTCCCGTTGTAATCGGTGGCGCCCGCAGTAGCAACTGACAGGGCAGCCACCAAATTAGAGCCCACAGTGAATATAACGGAGCGAACATGAAAATTGTGTAACCGCTCTGATGCCGCCTTTGCAATGCCGAACCTCTGAGCGCCAATCTGAGGTGGTGGGGACCGTGACCGCAAGACGCCTAGCCCACGCACACACACCGGCGGCTACAAGTCGAGCCAGATCCGCCCTGAGGGGTCAGAGTCCGGCTGCTGTCTTCACACTGAGGAACGGGACGGCCTGGAGCCTCCAGACGCATCACCATGCTCACACAGCTGACTGTCGGCTCAAACAAACAGAAATCTTCCGCTCTCCACCGCGAACAAGGGAAAAAAATAAATCAAAAATAACCAAATTACCTAAGCGAAATAAGAAATAGAAAGAATTTGAGCACAGAGAAAAATTCCACCTCAGTCTGTCAGCAACTGAAAGACTGAGGAATCATGGGACAAAGGGGCGTGGCCAGAGCACGGAGAGAGGGAGAAATAAATTTAAAGTCCACTCAGTTGATGTCAGAACGTGAGGAAGTAACCCAGCTATGGAGTGTAGATGCAGCGCTCTGGAAAATGGCTGAGGAGATGAGGGAAAAACAGCACTTACACACACATTGCGCTTGCACATACAATGTGTAGCATTTTAAAGGACATTAAGTTCCACCAAAGCCTCGCTTTCTTAAACACTTTTGGATACAATCGATTTACAGTAAAAAAGAGATCTTTGAAAACAGCTGGACAAAGAAAACAGTCTGTCAAAGAACCAGCCTTCCTTCCGAATTACAGAAAGTAAAACAAAGACAAAACGTCTTTTAAAGGACGTTAAAACAACAGCAAAGAACTTAATAAGATTTTGACTAAGAAAGTTATAGACAGTTAAACAGGACTGTATAAATTTGAAAGAGTAATATTTTGATGAAAGTACTTTAGTACTATTCAGAATTAATTAAATAAAACAGGCCAGATCTTCATGTGAATGCTGGTTTTTCTTTTTAACATCAAAGAGAAAAGATAACTGGTGGAATTTATAAAACAAGGAGATAGATGTAACATGATGGGCTGTGTTATTACAACTACAGAAATACAGATTAGATTAAAGTTTTAAGAACAAAGAGAAGTCTAAACAAGAAAAAAGAGAGATAAGTCGTCCTTCATTTTTGTAACTGACTTACTTTTAGTTTTGGATTATAAATAAGAGAATGGCAACCTCCAGAAAAGTTACAACACATGGTGAGGGAAGGAGAAGATTGTTCAGAAAAAGGAAATTATCCCAGAAATATTATAAAAATATTAAAAATGAGTAAGAATAGAAGATAGATAGTAAAGATGAAAGAATAAATCTTACAATAAATCTTAAAGAATCTAGAGAGGAAATTATGATTTGGGAGATAACAAATTGTTGAAACAGTGGAAAAACAGCTGGTTGTAATGACTGAAATTCACATTATATTATAATCTAAAATAAAATTTTGATAAAATAATGTACTGTCACTAATGACTTCAGAAAAATTATCTGAAACACGAAAAGGTACTTCAAATTTATGTTGGTAATATGAATAGCATGAAGGGACATTTTATTATGCATGGTGGATGTAAAAAATTTGGATTCAAATGCATATACTGAAACAAACATTTTTAAAGTTTAAAGTGAAACTACAACTTTTTTTATTGGGATTCACAGGCATACAACTAGAAAAAAGTCATGGAAGATTATTTTTATATATAATCACTATTGTGAAAGAAGTATATGCACAAAAATGGAAAAATTCTGAAATACCAGAGAGATGATTAGTGAAAATGATGGAACAAGCAGGGGTGGTAAAAGTAGCTTGTTGTTTAGAGAAAGATCAACTACTTTTAATTATTGGAATAAAGGAAAGAAAAAAAGAAAATTTAACAAATAGACTATGCATTTGATTATTAGAAAGAGTAGATATTTGGAAATAAAAATACTTTGATGTAACCTTAGAGAAAATAAAGTGTAAAATATTTATAACTGCTGTTAAGAAGATTGGAATCCACTCCTGTATTATTTTGTTTTCTATTTCCTTTTTATTTTTTTCCTTATTTCATTTTCACTTTTCTATTACCTTTTCTCTGTTTTTCTTATGTTTAACTTAAAATTTGTATTATTTTTCTCTGCAGAACACTTCATCCACACATACACACAGAAGCTGTCTTTAATCTATGCATCTAGGTCAGTGATGGCAAATATTTTAGATACCGAGTGTCCAAACTGCGTGCATGCACTTGCCCAAACTGAAAGGTACGCATATGTGAGTGATCATGCGCATGAGCAGACATGCGCGCACGCATACACAGAAGAGACCTGAAGACCAGCTGGCTGGCGGGAGGCAGGGCATCCCAACACCGGCAGCACGGCAAGATCTTTTTCTTTCACGAACTTCTGTTTCGTCATTTGCAGGGAAACAGAAGCTCACGAAAGAAACGCCACGGAGAGCTGAGCTGGGGCGACAGCGCATGTGCCAGCAGAGATGGCTCTGCGTGGCACCTCTGGCACGCATGCCATAGGTTCGCCATCACGGATCTGGGTACAAGGAACATTTGCTGAACAGAGAACAAAATTAAAGAAATCTTATTTCATTGTCTTTAACATTTATTTTTAAAAAATCAGAACATTGTTAAATTTCAATTCTAAACTAAAGATAATTATAAACCAAGAGGCACAATGAGGTACAGTGACTTCAACTAAATAAATATTATATACATTACCAACCTTCACAATTTTGTTTACTTTTGCTGAAGGTGTGGGAGGTGGAGGAGTCTCTGGGCTAGGATCATCTTCTTCAGGAACTAGGTCTGGGTTAAGTGAAAATATACTCTCCAAGTCAATCTTTAAAAAAAAAAAATAGTTTCAAATAAATACATTGAAGTATTTACTTGCCTTTCCTCAACAAACAGTCTCTATGTAACATTGCTACCAAAAAATAAAGGTTTAATTATGAGGCATAAAGGTTTTCATTTTTTCTAAAAAAAACCCAACAGAACCTAATAAATTAGGGCACAATGTGTTAGACATTCTCTAATGACATAGAAAAACAAGTGCTTCTGTTGCTCAATTCTGAAATTTTAGGGAATGCAGCTGTCTTCTGCCACATTCTTGATCAGCACAGTCTCATCAGAGATATATCATTGTTTGATATAAGTCTAACTGCTCTATTTCCTTTTTATTTACTTGACATACTGCCTTTCTACTCAAACAAATGAATATTTATCTTGATAATACAGGGGACTATATTTCTTCCCAACTGTGTTCCAAGTCCTTTTCCTTGAATAAAGGAAACTACATTTTAGATAATCAAAAATATACATGTCTCAAGGACGCATGCTAATAAGTGGTAAGTGGTCCTCAATTTACAGTTCTTTTAGTGACCGTTCGAAGGCACTGAAAAGAGTGACTTATGACCATTTTCAAAACTTATGATTGTTGCAACATCTCCATGGTCACGTGATCAAAATTCAGGCATTTGGCAACTGACTTATATTTATGACTGTTGCAATGTCCTGGGATCATATGTTCACCTTTTGTGACTTTCTGGCAAGTAAAGGCTAAGTTGCTTAGCAACAGAAATACAGGACTACCTGTATTGTGTCAAGCTATTTCTTGCAAATTCAGCTGGTGATGAAATTTTAATTATTTCTTCTATTAGACTGATTTTTAAAAAGCATACAAAATACCATTGAAGCATATTGTTACCATTTTCATTGAATGCAATTCATATTATACAACTTTATTTAATATTTCTACAAAGTGATACTGTATTTGTGTTTGAAGAATTTCATTTTTCATAACATTTAGATGGTTAAAAAGACCATACCTCTTTTCCTTTAGTATCACCATTTTCAATCCATTCTACAGTAACACTTTCATTATCCTCATTTAGAGATGTTACCATAGCTTCATGTATTCGACCTGGAAGAAAAGTATATTAAGTTTTAAAATATGATCAAAAGATTCTTAAAAAGAGTCACAACATATTGCAGTACAATGGCTCTTAATACCCAGGCTATTTTCTCTGAGTAATGATAGAAGGTTGGGAAAGATTCATGTACCTACGCCTTCTTCAGCCAACTAAAGAAACCAAGCTGACCTCTATTTGCCATTATGCTCTATCTGGGAGACTTTTTCTCCCTAAGCTGATAGTAGAAACTAAAGTATCATTATATAGCATAAAAACCCTTCTCATAAGTCCTCCTTCCATATATTTTCTTTGAAAATATTTTCTTTTGAATTCTTGATGCTTTCTGAGCTTGACTGTTTGCACGCAGACATTTCATTAGTACTGTAACATCTTCAGTGTTAGCGAGTGTGGGGTTTGCACCTTGTTTACATACAGTTGCTTGCCTTGCCAATGATGGTGGGTATAGTTTTCTAAGCGAGGGAGAGGCCAGTGGTTATACTTGGGTAATACCACTGCGATCCAATCAGATCGAGTCTGTCAATTAAAAACTCCTCCTCCTTCTGCTGTCTCCCAGCTTTCAGACTCGATCTGAATCAGGTCTAACGCTCCACTGAGTCTCTCTCTCAACTTAGCTGATTCCTATCTGATCTTTCTCAAATTAATCCTCCAAATTTTACTAACTGCCTCCTTCTGCTCGTTGAGATCGTGAGCAGATCATTCAGCGTAAAGGGCTGCGCGCCCTGCGCCTCAGGAGGACGCTCAGTTCATCAGGGGATTGAGCCAATTCTCCAGGCTCTCCCCTGTGCAGCGCGAAAGGCTCACGCCTAGTAACGCTGCGAAGTCTCCCAGCTTCGCTGGTAGCAGGCTTCAGTAACCTGAGCTAGCCGCCCATCTCTTCTGCTCGGCTGCCTCGTCCCTCGGCGCAATATACATCTCAGCGCCTCCCAGCTGACAGCTCCGGTGATCTCCAGAGGGTTGGGCTGCAGCCGCCCTCACCTTCTCAGACGGAGCTGCAGCGTTTGCGCTCCCTCGCAACGCTCCTTCGGCGTCCCTGGGGCTTTCTTCCCCACACGCGCCTGCCTTCCTGCCTCCTGTTGCTGCACAGACCGTCGAGGGACAGAGCTGCTAATTAATCAGGCAAGGCAGAGCAACGGGGATTCCCTGAAGGGGGGGGAGAAAGAAAGGAGAGAGGAAAATTCTTGCCTGGTGCCTGGCTCCCCAAAGAGGGGAGAGAAGAATTTCTTGCCCAGTGCCTGGCCCTCCACTCTAGGCCTTCTCCTTCGGAGCCTTCCCTATCGACGGCCGCCATTTTAGAACAGTATAAGCCTCCACGAGGCAGGCGGCCGCCATTTTATCCCACGATTGCTGGGGCCTTAATTAATAATTAACCATATATTACGGCATTTTGCAGGTCCTGATGGCTTCTCGTTCCTCCAAGGCCACCAAAAGAGGGGCTGAGGAGGAGGTTTTACCAGGGCCCTCCTCTGCAGTGCCTCAAAAGAGGCCCAAAGGAACTCACACCTCTAAGGAGGCAAAACGCCAGGCAGCAAAGGCCAAAGAGGAGCTTCGGCTCCATGAAGCGATTGAACGCTCCATTCAAAAAAACCCTCAAAGAGGTTTCTCTCAGGGAGGCCCCATCACACCCTGAACAGCCCCCTGGGTCTCCTTCGCCCCTCCCTCCCTCTTCTTCCACCCCCTCTAAGGATAGGGCCCTTCAGGGAACCCCCATTCCCCAACTGTCCCCTGATGACACTATTGCCAACCCTACCATTCAGCCTGAGGTCCAGGAGGCCCTATTCGGGCCTTCTTCTGATCAGCCTCCAAGGGGATCTCCTCAAAATCCTACCATGGTCCCACCCCAACCTCCAGAGACATCTACTGAGGCTCAGCCTGCCTCTATCCTAACCCCGGATTTAGCATCCTTTCTCCATCAAGCTATCCAAAAAGGGATCCAACTAGAGTTCCAGAGGCGCACCGCCTCGTGGGTGGATGCCTCAGCCTCTTCCCTGGTGGATATTGAGGGATCTCAATATGGGGAGCCAATTAATCCTTCCGGGGCTGCTGCCCCTTCGGCTGCCTCTGAACCCCATTCACTACTGGACCTGGAAACTAGGGAACAGGATCTATCAGAGGATGAGGATCTAGCCCCTGATCAACCCTCATTTGTAGGCTTGTTCAAGCCACAACTGTTTAGATCTCTTCTCCACAAAGCGAAGATCACCACTGGATTGGGTATTGTAAAACCTCCCCCCCCCAGCAGGGGACCCATCTGAGACAGCGGTCCCTCTCTTTGAGGTGCCTATTTCGGAAGTAGAAGAGATTCCAGGGTTCAAACTTTTCAAAGACGTTCTTCAACGTCAATGGACCAACCCGGTCTCGGGGCCTAACCCCAATTCTTTGGACAGGCGCTTGTACAACCTGGCGCCTGATATCGCCTCCTTACTGCAGGTTCCCACGGTAGACCCTCCAATGGTGGCTCTCTCGAGCCCTTCCAACGTGGCCGCCCCCCCTGAGGAGGCCCTTCGCCCCGAGGAGAAACGCCTTGACAATTCTCTGGTCAAAGCTCATATGGCCTCGGCCTGGGCGGTCAAGGCGGCCATGGCGGCTTCTTTCTTCGATAGAGCCTCCATTTTGTGGCTCCGCCAGTTGAAAGACCGCCTTCCCGTCTCAGACTCCCAGTCCCTCCAGGACCTTAACAAAATTATAGCGGCCCTAGAATTCTCTGCGGATGCAACTTTAAATTCATCGCGCTTCGCTGCTAAGTCAATGGGGGCCACAGTGACTTCCCGCCGCCTACTTTGGCTTCGCCAATGGCAGGCCGACGCCAAGTCCAAATGGCGTCTCGCTTCATCCCCTTTCGCAGGCCCTTCCCTTTTTGGGGCTCCACTCGAGCCCCTGCTAATCGAAACCAGAGACAAGAGACGCATCTTGCCCAACGTTTCCCGGCGGGCGGATTCCCGTCCGACGGCCCCTTTTTGTCCCTTTTGTAACGCAGAATCAGGTTTCTCGGGCCCGAGATACCATAGGTTCTTTCCAACGCGTTCTCGCCCACCAGACCGCCAAGGTCTCCCGTCCCAGAGGAGCCAATTTAGGCGCTCTTTCAGAGGGGGCCGAGGGGGCCCCTCCCGCAGGTCCCGCTGACTGCAGGTCCTCTTCTCCCATTGGAGGCCGCCTGGCTCTCTTTGCCAGCCAATGGGAGGCCACAACATCAGACCCTTGGGTCAGGGAGACGGTCAGGTGGGGCCTCTCCCTGGAATTCCTCTCCACACCCCCAGACAGGTTTCTCCGATGCCCCCTCTCGAGGGATCGGTCGAAGCGGCTTCTGGTGGTATCGGCCATCCAACACTTATTAGAAATTCGGGCCATCGAGCCGGTACCCCAGGATCAGCTCGGACAAGGCTACTATTCACGCCTGTTCATCGTCCAGAAATCGTCGGGGGGCTGGAGGGCGATTCTGGACCTCAAGACTTTGAACCGCTGGGTCCTCTACCGGCGGTTCAAAATGCAGTCCTTACTATCCATCCTGGATGGTATTCGGGTTGGGGACCTCCTCTTGTCTATAGATCTGACAGAGGCTTACTTACACGTCCCCATCCATCCGGCATACTCCAAGTTTCTCAGGTTTTGTTATGCGGGCCAACATTACCAGTATCGCGCACTCCCTTTCGGCCTGTCCTCGGCTCCCCGAGTGTTTACAAAACTGATGGCCGCCCTTGCGGCACACCTCCGGGCTCTTCCGGTCAGGATTCAATGTTACCTGGACGATCTCCTGATACAGTTGAGTTCGGAGGCCTCGGCGCAACGGGACCTGAACTCCACCCTTCAGGTCCTGACGGCTCACGGCTTCTCCATCAACTTAGCCAAGAGCCACCTGGTACCCTCGACCCGCATACAACATCTGGGAGCTGTCATCGATACGGTCGAGTGCAGGGTCTTCCTTTCCCAGGAGCGCCTGGCCAGTTTGCGGTCTCTGGCCAGGTCAGTCATCCAGAGACACTCTGTCTCCCTGGCGACTCTATCCCAACTTCTGGGAAAGATGGTTTCCTGCATAGGAATCGTTCCTTGGACCCGTCTCCACTGCAGGGACCTGCAGTGGTTTCTCCTCCCGTATCAGAAACGCCGCTTATCGGCATCCTGCCGGATGGTCTCCCTCCCACCCAAAGTTCGGTTAGCCCTGGGGTGGTGGTTATCGCCTGCTCTTCTCAAGGGGAGGGAGTTTCGGGAACCCAACCCCCTTGTAGTGACTACGGATGCCAGCCTCCGCGGCTGGGGGGCTCACCTCCACTCCATCATGGCCCAGGGTCTCTGGATCCAGGAGGACCTGGGCCACAACATCAATTGGCTAGAGCTCCGAGCCATCCACCTGGCTCTCCGCGTCTTCCAGACTCAAGTCCTGGATCGTCATGTCGTAATTCGGACGGACAACGTGGCCGCCAAGGCCCATGTGAACCGCCTAGGGGGGACCCGCTCCCGGGACCTCATGGAAGAAGCCGGGAGATTGGGAGCCTGGGCGGAGACTCACCTGAGGTCTCTTCGAGCCTCTCACATATCAGGACAATCCAACACACAAGCCGACTGGCTCAGCAGGTCCATCGTCGATCAGGGCGAGTGGCAGCTCGACCCAGCCCTGTTCCTACGGATCGCAGACCATTTCGGTCATCCGACGGTGGATCTGTTTGCGACTCACTCCAATCGGCAGACCCTTCGATTTGTGTCCAGGTTCCACGATCCGAGAGCGGAGGCGATGGACGCCCTACACTGCAGGTGGCCCTCGGGCCTCCTCTACGCCTTTCCCCCCCTCCCTCTTCTTCCCAAGGTAATCCGGAAGCTCCTGGAGGAGGAAGCCGAACTGATCCTGATTGCGCCCCACTGGCCTCGCCGCCCGTGGTTCGCCAACCTCCAGATGCTGTCGACCCGTCCACCGTGGTGTCTACCTCCGGCGGAAGTCATCCTTCGTCAAGGTCCTCTTCTACACCCGGACGCTCACTGGCTTCACTTGACCGCCTGGAAG